ATTCAATTAAAACTTGAAAAAATCTAGTAAAGCTTTCAGTTTTATTGAGATTTTTAAATTAATATTTGAGAAATTAAGGATACGTGTTTACATAATTTTTTTACACAGAAACACAGAAAACTAGTTTAGTGCAATTAATTACTTTGTCAAAAAAAGACAGGCAATATTTGAGAAAAACTTTCTCACGCCTTGGAGGAGTTATTGACTTTCGTTTATTTTGTTTCATAAAATCGCATCTTTTTCTTCTAATGAAAGGATTTCCTGAGGCCATCATAATATTAAGCCGTGAATAGTTGCAATAATATAACGAAAGTTTTAAACTATTTTTTATCGAAATTATTACAAGTCATAAAATAAATATAAATACATGTATATAAAGAACATAGTTAGAATTCTCAGGTGAGCAGTGTAATCCCCTATGAATTTTAATAAAACTCCATGTATGGAGGAAAAATAGCACAACAGTTAAGTCTACGAGAATCGCATAAAACTAATGTTTGAATTTAATTTATATATCATCTGAACAACAGTAAAACGGGGCCAAAAATTTGGCACAAACCGCCTGAAAATCATGTTCTGCATTAAGCTTTGACCCTCCGTATCAAAAGTGTCCCTGCTCTTTCTCGTTTAATTTTCTAGTTTAGCGAGATAATTAACCAGACTCATTTCTAGTCTACAGTTATTTACACAAATCACCTGTTTAATTGAAACCATGTGGGCAATGGTGTTTGCTTACTAAAACCCGACCATTCGCAACTTACTTTGGGTCGTTTCCACGTGAACTGAAACGGAGGAGTTTGATGATAAAAAACCGAGGCTTGTGTAGCAGGAAAATCCGGATCCTCCCAGAGCTCCCCACATTTTAGACAAGCCCTCCTGATGCGGTCGTACTCGCTCATGCCCTAAAACACAAAAGTGGAACGTTGATTATTTGTAAACAATACTCATTGTAAAGCAATTTCCCAAACGCGCTTTTTAATTGTTAAATTAAACGATTTTTCAGCAAAACTACTCGCTTTCACAATTTATTGTAGCGAATTAGATCTGGCAGCGGATAAAAATCGCGTTTCCTGCTTCGTTATCTTTCTTACACGTACAAGTGTTATTAGTTACGCGTTTAATGGATGAATTAATTGCTATTTGCAAATGCTCGTTCATGCAGGGCAACTCCGGGCAGGCGTTTAACCAGCTCCGGGTGAAGAAGTTAGGGCGATGACCTAGGAAGTGATTGAATGTTTACACTTTGGTGCGAAGGTAGCTATATTGGTATGTGGCTGATTTATTATATTGATTATCTGGTGTCACGCTTCTTTACGATCATTAAAAAGATAATTGATTCGTTAGGAAAAAGGGAACTAAAGAACCGCTTTGTCTTTCTTAGATCTTCATCGGAATATCATGAATAGAGGCGTCATTATACGTATTGTATAACTTGTGCAGTCATTTAAAATCCCAACGGATGTGTAACCTTTGACCTGGAATGCTTCGCGCTTTCTAGTAAAATAATATTACTAGGTCTTCAACACAGATCAAGTGTGCAAACATTGTTAAATAAAGTACCTGATTGTGACAATAGGATAAAGTTGTTAGTTTCAGGATTAAAACATAATTTGGCAATGCAGAATACCATGACCATTGAGAGCGATATCCATGCTTGAGTTATCACTATCAGCATTGTATTTACAGCTGAGAAATTAGTAGTTATCACAGGAGCAGAAACAAAGTGGGAAGTTCAATCTATTGTAATAAATTTTCAGCAAACAAGTATCAATAATTTCACCATTTGCGACATATCGTGAAGACTTTGTTTCTTAAAACAAACTGCTAATTCTAACCAGAAAATTTTCTATTGTTTAATATTTAATTTCAAACATTAAAATAGAGACTAAATGTGAAACTATTTTATGTATTTGGCAAGATTTTTTTTATTATAAATCCAGCACTATACACGTATCTAGGGACTTTTCTAACTTTTCTATTGCCATTCTGTTATTCACAATATTTTTCTGTAAGAACTGGTGGAGCTTCTTGACTCTAAATTTGTCAGTAGGGTTCAGTTATGACAGTGATTCTTCTTTTACACAAAAAGTAAATGTTTGCGACCTATATTTCACCTCAAAAAACGCGGTTGCGTCAAAAAATAATCAAGAATAAAAAAATATTCACTTAATGTTGTGTTACCAATTACCGCAATTTACAAAAACACATTAGACTCTGCCACTTAAAATTGTCAACAAGTTATCAGTTTTGATCGTAATAAATCTTTGGAGAAAAAGAGCTTTTCTCGGAGTTTTTATAAATATGCCATTTTTTTAATATTGTGTGAAATTCTAAAACCTATTTAACAACCAAAACTGACTCAACTAGGTCTAGGTCAAGTCCATTATTTGGAAAGAATAACCAAGAACCACATAGGTCAAGTCCACGATTTTTGCCTCAATAATTTTTTATTTAAAATAGTTAAACCTTTTAAAACATTTCATTATTGAGTTAAATCACGTTTAAAAAAGTATCTCGCTCAATATTGCCTAAAGCGAAAAATTAAACTATTGAACTGCATATTAATTGATTAATTTTACAAAGAAATATTTACTACAAGAAAATTTGCCTTTTGAATGTATTTTTTTTAGTTTTAACAACTGTTGTATTTATAGAAAGACGTTAAAAGTGTTTTCATTCTCTGAAAGTAGCACAATTGATTGTATTATTACGATTCTAGTAGAGATATAAATCCATAAAGTAAAAAATATGCAAAACTAATGAACAAAACATGTAATTTTTGAAGCAGACTTTAAGAACATTGTTATTAATTTCTACTTATAACCAATAAGCGCATTGTATTAAGTGTATTAAATGGGTCAGATTAGCATATCGGGTTTTGCATAAAATCATTTAGCATTTTGAATTTTAAGTTATCATTAGATGAAGTAAGTTTTATTTTAAAAAGTCCTACACGTCTTGTGTAAGTAAATGAAACTAGTTTTAAAATCAGTTTCCCAATAACCTGTTAAATATATAACAAAAATTTTTGATATGTGGAATGTAAGTCGCAAATTGGTTTACAAAAGCAAACAGTTATGCTGTAACAACAACGGGAGTACAATTAAAGCGAAAGCGACTAATTACGTTAATATAATACAGACTTGATTGCATTAAAACTATAACAATGAAGTCAGAAAAGTAATAATAAACTTGTTTTTTTAGTTTTACATGATTTATTAATTATTGTTTCGTAACCCACAGATAAAGTGCGAGTTGATGTTTAAAATATATGTATATACTTGAAATGGATGTGAAAAAATCTCAGTATGATTGTGAAATTTTCAGATTCATCTTGTTCTGCTTCACGAACATATTTGAAAAGGATTATTTCTGTTTGCGTTTTACAGTAAGTCAATATTGTCACGTTTCAGACTATTCCTTTTTTGTAATAAACCAATACCTACTTTGTAACGTCAAGATCCAGTCGTTTAGAAATTCTGAGCATATGCTACTCGCAAATATTATTTTATTTTACTAGGTTCACGTTTTATGATCAGGAATATTTGCATAATACTCAAAATTAAACCCACATGCATACCCAAAAGCAATTTTTGGATTTTTTTTAAACAGATGTATTTTTAAAACTCTTCATTTTCACCAATTCAATCATTAAACTTTAATAAGTGGCTAATGATATTTAAGGGTCCAATCTTTCTCTACAATGATTACGAATAAACGCAAGATTTTTTCAGATTTTTTTATAAGCTTTAGTTTAAGATAAGTTTTCTAGTTTCTTTAATTATATGTGTCCTATAATTATAATGGGTGGGCACAGTTTTATTATTGTTAGAACAAAAAGTGTAAATAACAAATTATAATAATTAGGTATAAATTAAGACTGGAATTTAGAAAAAAAATGACACATTTTCACGTTAATTGACTTTATTTTCTTACAATTTTATTTGCTCATGAAATCTTTAGAGTTTTTCTTTAAAGATTGATGTATTTTTTCTTCCGACTTTCCACTTTCCCATGTTAATAGTACGAGTACAATTAGAACTTATTTCTGTGCTATTATTTTTTGTTACTAATTCCTTTTCATTTTGTACGTCTTTACTTCTACTACATATAATTACTTTCTACGTTGTAATACACGAACAATATTTCAATTTTATTGTTCTTTAATTTTTTATTCCATTAAATATTTAATATTACAGTACTTTGCAGTACTTATTGTTACTAAAAAGAATTTTTTTTTATTATATAACAGGTATATATACTGTTACGAGAAGGTGGATAAATGTGGTAAGAATTCATATTCATAATAAGCCCAGCTGTAAACATAAGTTTATAATTTTTTAACTGTAGAATCTACCAGAAAATATAATTATATTTTGTTTATTAATAAAAATAAAATTAACAATGAACACCCAACTAAGGTGTTCAACTTTGTCCACCCCGTACAACTACAGTATTTATATTTTACTAATTTATATTTATAGTAAACCGAATTTAACACTCTTTAAGAGAAAAAAATTCAATATATCAAATAAGTAATTCTTTTCAACATGTTTGAATTGAACTAAAAATTGTTCTGTACTGAAACACTGAAATACAACTTCAGACTTGTTAACAATAATTTTTGTGTAAATACAAAATAGCAATTTTCTTTTACTTTTTATTATTCATACTAAATTTCATTCGCTTGTCACACTTGTAATACAGTGACGTGCACCAATGCTGTATGACTGTTACGTGTTCTTGCTTTGTCACAACTGCAATCAAATGTTAACTTTCTTATCTTGGTGATTTATGGTTGCTTAAATACAAACCCTCCCAGATTGTAAACAAACCCCACCCTGATTACCTCCACAAAAATGCCTTTAAACAAGCAAAAAATCTGATTCAAATTCGTCCATTTTCGCAATTTTCATGCCGTTCCAGCCTCATTCTCAACAACGTGCACGTATCGTGACATTTAACTGTTTATGCCCTCGATCGCATTGCATTGGTCGGGCGATTTCTTCACGCGGAAGTCCATCGAATTTCGAGACGGCTCTTCATGGGGCACATACTGATGCTTCGTGACTTAATTTGGGCCGGTCAGACGTAAGAACAGTGGCCTTTGCTCTAAGAATTTAACGCCGTTTCAACGACCCCAACTGAAGCCACCGCCAAGGCCGCATCTATTCGCGCTCTAAATAGAAAACCCAATTAACCAGAGCTCTGCTCCTACGCGGAGGATGGGGACAAACGTCCGCTTCTTGCAGGCTGAAAAACGCTCGTTAGCCCATATTTGAGCCGCGGCTTGATATGGGCATCCATTAAACCGGCAGGATGACTAAGGAGCACCACCGAAAAAATGAAGTGGTTTCGAGAATCCGCGTTTGATTAAAAATTCGTTTCAGATGAACAGGTTTGAAGCTTTCTTCAATTGCATGTTTAATTGATTAATTAATAATTGAGACGTGTGCATAAGTTAGAACTGACTCCAGTTGACAAGTAAATAATTGTCGGAATTAGTGTCAAGAATAAAACCAAGTGATGTTGACAACAATAATTACTAATACTGATGATATCTACCCGTATGCTAATAACTGTTCGTGAACCCACTTATTGGGCATTGGGGCATGAATTATTGGAAAGTTCACTATATTTACAATTTATTCCTGACATTGGACTTTCTAATTAATCATAAACTAAGCCGTTGTATCTGTACACATAAAGAATTTTTCGTTGCTTGTTCTTGAAGTGGATCCAATTCATCTTTTATCAACTTTCTCATTACTCATTAATATTGATAGCTTTTCTTTAAACTTTTTGCTACGATTTGATCGCAACATGTAGGAGCATGTAATAAATTACTTATTTGTTCTATTCTTATGACACATTTATCGTCAGAATTTTATATTAACCTGTTTTTAAACTGTTGACATGTTTGCACTTTCTTTTCCCTCTTTACCACCATCATTCGCATATTTTTTTATAACTCAATTATGTTGAATTATGAAATAAGCATAAATACAAAAAATATGGTTTTGTCATAGCCCGTTGTAATTACTAAATTGTCCAAAATCATTACACGGAGCAGTGAATATGCTGTTTTTAACTAATAAACGTCCAAAATTTTAACGGTCTGAATTGTAATTCAAGGTGAATTGAGCAATTTAGCACTAGGATCAAATTCACCAAAAAAGGCAAAACAGTGTGTCGAAATAGTATATTTTTTAAATTTGGTTAATTGGTTACTGTGGTTTGTTTTTCCCTTTGTTTTATTTAGATTGTAACAAGTTCAATAAAATTACCTGTTGCTTCAATCAGCTAACAAGTGATTATTAAATAAGAGAAACTAACAATTTTAACTTTAAAATCTTGAACCTAATAATTATTAATTGGAATTACTTAATTGTTGCAATAAAATCAGTGGTTGCATGCAGCCAAGTGCAGTAGCTAATTATCATAATTCAAAAATAAATATGTTAAATCTCCACCGACTTTTTTATTTTTGATACTTATGCAGAGTGCATCAAAAATAAGCATTTGAATTTTAAATTAGTGAAAGAACTATCTCATTTTTAAAAACATCGTAACAACGAAACTGTTTTTTGTTTCTTACTTCCAAGCATTAGCATTACTGTCAACTCAAACAGTCATTTGTGATCACTTCGTATAACAAATTAAAAAAAAGGTCAATAACTCAGTGATGCCAATACATTTTCCTAACATCCAGTAGAAACTATTATTATGAGTTAAAATTGGGTCACCCCATATATACAGCTTTTTTGTTTGAATTAAATAAATTTCAGCACATTTTACAAAAACTATTTACTTATTTATAATTTTAGCAAATAAAATTTTAAATCTGTGACAACTTTACTGCTATGAATACATAATTATGTATGCAGATACATACCTTCTACAGTAGCATAACTAATTATTACAAATTTTATAACTATTTTTAAGTATCCGTAAGGTACACAAATATTATATCAAAGAAAATTACTTAGTAAAATTTTTTTTTTAAATAAATGTATGTTTTGCATGTTTTTTTTCTCAGAAAGCTGGAGATTTAAAGATTTTAATTTTTAAATTTTTTAATCAAAATAACTGTGTACTTTGCAATTGAAGTTTTTATCTTTTTCAAAAAGTCGTATTCTTTATTATTATAATCGGTATTTGTAATAGGTATTAGGCTTCGATGGACAATCAGGTTGAGCTGAAATTGTCGATTTTACATTAAAAAAAAAAAAAATAGCGACAATGTTGATTCTGAGCGGCATCCGTATTAATTGAAAAGATCGTGCGCAAAATCTTAATAAAATTGATCATCAACATTGTTCATTAATGACTCAGTTAAGTAGCTAACGTTTAAATTTTTCGCAGAATGAGCAGATGTTAAATTACAATTTTTTTACTCACTTCAGTTTTCCGCGCACAATCTTTGAAAAATCTAAAATCCACAATCACATTATAAACCAGACACAGCACCAACAATCAACTAAAACTTAAACTGGCCAAATGTGTAAATTATGTCAAGACTTCATTCAAATTGTTTTATGAAAACCTGGAGCACGTGTACCGTTCGAATCGTATAAAACGTAACAAATTCATCCGCGCCACTTTGTAGCTCTTCAGCAACTGCTCGGAGTACCTCGACCAAGAATTACATCGTACAGGTCTGACCCCGTTCATTCTTGCCGCTAGCGCTTTTAGATATCAGGCGAAATTCTTCTACTTACGTATCAACTTTCTTTTATCATTTAACCATTAATATGCAACTTTGAAATTGTTACAGTTTCTGTCAAGGTGGAAGGAGCTAGACCTCAAATTAAGAAGCAAACAAACTGTTAAATAATTGCTCTTTTTGTAAATCAAACCCAAATAAGTTTACCAGAAATAAAATTTGTCAGAAATTTGTTGATATGGTTGCTCAAAAATACATTTTCCAATATTTTTACGAGTACTTAACTCCCTATAATTATAAATCTATACTTAATTACTTTTTTTCTTTTGTACCTATTTAAAATATTATGTTTTCGCTTCATACCTAAATAATCTATTTTATTTATTTTTTAACAGTGCTTTCGCAATAATAAAATCAAAATTATCAAATAAATGAATGCTTCAAATGGCAACACAAGATATATGCTAAGTTCCAAAATGTTATTTTTATGTATTTCTATTTATTTATTTTTAATCTTTTTTTTAATGATGCCTGCTTCCGTTTATTTAGCTTGAAATACTCAATATTGTTAGGCTACAACACACAAAACCTCTTTGTACCGACAGTAACATAAATCTCCAGAAAACAAAATAGATGGAAACATTACAAAATGCCTACGATTGGCTCAAATAGTCAAATAGATCTGTGACTTCTGTGAGAAACACGTGGAGGAGTTTTTGTTAGTAAACATCCGTGTTAGTGACTTTTTTTTAGTGTAATTGGAAGAGGAAACATCAAAGATTTGTATTGGGTAATAGTATATATAAAAATATGTATACTAAAATTAAAGAAAAGTAATCATAAATGAATAAAAAAACGCCAAAATAAAATATGTGCTTGTTGTAACAGCTATGTAATTCGTTTTTTTTTGAGAAATCTGTACCTACCGGATTAATATAGAATTTAAGTCCTTTAGCGCTTTTATAATAACGTTCGATTACAGATACAACTTACACAACAATTTGAAATTTGAATTTTTAGGTCGCCGGCAATATATTCAAAAACTTTATGTATAAATTCAAATTTATTCGAAAACCTGATGTTAGAACCAATTTTATATTCCGGATGCTGGTTACTCTTGGTCATCATGAGTCTTATAGCAAGTTGGTTGAAATACAATAATAAGTTCCCTTCACAAATTCTCAACACAAAATATTCTTCTTTTAAAAACTTGCCCACTCTAAAATCTTACCCCGTGATAGGTCACTCATATTTGTTTTTTCCTGGAGGTAAAGTATCTTAAATTACAACTAAAAAATCTTAATTCCAAATTTTAGGTAAATATAAGTCTGAGCGCTTAACTGAAGCTTTTGTCGACATAAGTAAAACTTTGGGGCCAATTTTTAAATTAAATTTGGGTGGATCAGCAATAGTTGTTACTCTTGATCCTGACCATACTAGAATTTTGTTTCAAAACGAGGGGACTAGACCTGAAAGGCCCCCATTTCCGGCTTTGCTTCATTTTAGGCGGAAAACTTTTAGTAGTACGGGAGTTGTGCCTGGAAATGGCGAAGAATGGTATAAGATGAGAAAAGGAGTAACTCCTTTATTAAAACTTCAATTGATAGAACCCTACAAAAGGCAACAAGAAGACATTGCTAAGACTTTTGTAGACTATGTAAAAACGTTTAGAGATGAGAATTTCGTGTTACATGACATTTTCTCACATTTGCTAAAGTTCACAATTGAGGGTAAAATAAAAAATAAATAAATTACGATTATCGAACATTTTCTTTGCAGCGATCTCAATAGTCTTTCCGGGCCATCGCTTTCGTTGTCTCTTTAGCGATAATTTAGAGACAGAACAAATTATTAAAGCGAGTATAGACTTTATGGATGGTTTATACGGTACACTTATCGAGCCACCATTTTGGAAAATATGGAAGACACCATCTTACAAGAAACTTGAATCATCTCATAACACAATTTATAAGATTTTAGAACGACATTTAGAAGAGATGAAATTTTATTTCTCTGAAAACCCTGAGTCCGTGAAACAGTTACAACCATACATGTACTCCCTTTTCAGCAATGATCAACTTTCATGGGATGATAAAATTATGCTAGCTATGGAAATATTCCTAGGTGGTATTGATGCTACTGCTACAACTATAGCTTTCACACTGTACTACTTATCCAAAAATATTGAAATTCAAAATTTGGCTAGATCAGAAAATACAGATTTTCTCAAAGCTTGTATTCGGGAGACATTGAGACTCTCACCCACCGCGGGTGGCAATTCCCGATTTTTAAATAACGATGCTGTGATCGGAAACTACTTGATACCAAAAGGGGTAACAAAACAGCTAAATTTGAAACAAAGTTATTTTTTACTTATTTTTTAGACATTAGTTTTATCACTTAACTCAGGAATGTCATGCAATGAAAGGTATTTTAAAGATGCGCAAAAGTATTACCCACAAAGATTTGTAAAAGCGACGAGGGAAGATTTTCATCGTTATGCGTCGTTGCCTTTTGGCCACGGTCCCAGGATGTGTCCAGGAAAAAGAGTCGCTGAAAACGAAATAGTTATTCTATTATCAGAGGTTTGTTTCGATATTTACTCAGAAGTGCAATTATATGTTGTTTGTTTTAGATCCTGAAAAACTTTACTTTGGAATCGGTGGGAGATTCGGATGTGGGGATGGTTTTCCGGATGAACCGTATTCCGGATAAGCCGATAAACGTAAGATTTGTAAATACAAATCACTAAATATTTATTATTTCATTGTACAACAATACATGTTTTCAAAATTACACTAGTATTAGTCCATTTACATTTTCATATTTACATTTTTAAATGTATATTTTTGATATTGTTTATAATTTTGTACAATAAAAATCTGATTAAAGCTTATATGACTTTAATGTCATACACTTGTTTTAATTTGATATTTATTTAGTGATAACTTTAAGATTCTATTGTCGATGTTTTAATTTACAAATTTTTAAGAATAAGGCAAACATCTAGACAATGTAAATGTTATATTCTAAATAAATAGTACGTAAAATTAACACAAGTTGCGTATTTATGTTCTATACATAAATATATAAACATAAATTAAACTGTGATTGAATAATAAATTCATTGACATATATCTCTGCTATTAAGAATCTTAATCTATGTAAGTAGATATTTTGCACAAAATTTGGGAATGTTTGCGGATACACCCGACCGTATAGCAACATGTTAAGTCGAAGACAACTTTTGGTCAGAGTTACCCAGTATACAACAATTTTCATTTTTTAAAATAAACAACACAGAACTATTTGTAAGCACTACAAAAGTTCGATATACTATGATATAAAACATGAGGTAAAATAATGGTCCGATGCTAACAGTTAAGACAAACTATTGACAGTGAATCCATAAACATGAAAAAGACATAACAAAAATATTTACGATCACACGTAAAGTAAATCACAGAGTTTTCCACACGCCGTTATATAAAAAAGAAAATAAAACAATAATCGCAAAATCGTCGAAATTCCAAAATAAAATTTAATGTACAATTTAACAAACGGAATAAAACTGTCTTTGGCAAATAAAAAACAATTACTAATAACTTTCCCGAAAAACTAATCGTCGATTAAAGCCAGGGAGGCCTTGTCATGGAATCGTATGGTTGCCTCATACTTAACGCGGGATGGTACCCCGGCGGATACGGCCCTGGGGGACCCAAAAGTCCTTGATTCAACACCCCCGCTTGCAGATAGTGTTGATACAACGGAGAGCTGGCATCCATAAGGGGCGCCTGCGCAGAGGGCATGAAGTGGCTGCTCAAGGGGTAACTGGGGGGCGTTGCCTGACGCGCGCCTATAAAGGGGTAACTGGGGGCTTGCCGAGCAGACGACTGGTGCGCCGCCACTCGGGTCTGTTTATCGGGGGCGTCAGGAGTGGATCTGTGGTGGGCTGCCGTCGCCGCCGCGATGTAGTAGTTGGGGGCGGCGCGGAAATCCTCCAGGAAGTTAGGATATGCATCTTTGTCGCCGTACAAGCCCGAACCTATACCCAGGGCTGACGGCGATGGTCCAAAGTTAAATGCGCTGCCGGGGACGACGCTCGCTGTCTTTAGGGATATTGCACTTGGTTCCATAGGAGAGTTCGACTTTAAGCCCGCGTACGATTGGAAGCCCTGATTGTTGGGCTGCGCTGGGGACTCTGACGCCGATACAGGCTGAACTGCAATTTTGCATAAAAACATTACAATTTTTTTTAATTCAGCGTTTGTTTTTAGAACTCATACAATTGTATTCGTGTTGTGTATTTTTTAATAATCGGATAACTAAAGTCTGTTTTTTTTTAAATGAAAATGCCAATGTCAATGCAGGTTTGCTAAACATTCTTAATTCTTAGCAAAAAATTGACAAGAATACAAAATAAACATGAATGAGAAAGAACCTCGGAAAGAACGCAATTAAATCAGTGTCTTGTGCATCGTTTTTGAGGAACGAGTTGAAAAAATAATTTTGAAACTAAAGCTGAAGAAGAATTTATAAAATGCATCAACTTTGAGCTCATTTCAATAAATTACACAAAATTTATTGCCAATCATCATAATACCCACTTGTATCTTTTGCTAAATAACTTTTTTCTGTATATACATCCTTTTTCTTCAAAGTTTCTAGAATCTAATTTTTGTCCACAACATTGTACTTACTTGCGGTGTGTTTCTGTCAAAACTATTAGCGCTGAATTCTGTCTTTAGACCTTAGGTAATGATGTCTGTCCTCAGGTATTCAATTATAGCGCTTTCAAAGAGCAAACAGGCACACAAGATTCATAAAAGTCAAAATTTTGAAAACATCTCCATTTGAACACATAACCATAATTTTTTAACAACATTTCTAGAGACAAAAACAAAGAGCAAACAAAATTTGTGGCTATGGAGACAAGCTGCTACCAATTTTTTCACCAAAATTTTGACTTGGTAATTTCCTTTAAAAAAAAAACAGACTTTACATAAATTTTGAAATTCGAAAATTCGTACAAATAAGTTGTAATGCTCACCTGCTTTCGCGCTCTTCCGTTTCTTCGTTTTCTTCTCATTACCCTGTTGCGCAACATTGGCATTCTTTGTTTCGCTAGTCATCGGATTCTGCAGTTCCGTCATCTGTCTATTATACATGGAAGAAGTCGGTACTTGCATATTCTGATTATACGACTGTATCCCCATATTCGGCTGATTAAAGATTGGCAATCCTGAAGAGCTCGTACAGATGGGTTTATTAAACATATGAGGCCCTCCCAATCCCTTATCACTGTAATACTGACTCGCTGTTGGTTGCAATCCGGTCAACATCCTCTCGTCATTACTATACCGATCGACGATATGCGACAAATTCGCTATATTTCCTCTTAAACCTAAAGGTTGGTCCATATCAATGTGAGTATTGTACGTCGGCCTTGGTATTGACACTTCGTTCGACTTGTACGAACTCTGCACGTCCAGAGGCTGCCCTAAACGGTTCGTGTTCGAATGTTGTGTTGTATAATTGGTATGCGCTTGTTGCGGGTTGGAAGTCGTAGAGTTCATGTCGACGTTTTTGTAGCCCATATGAGGGCTAGCGTTAGAGTAGTGCAAGACCTCTGACGGTTGTCCTTGGTTCGACACCGGTTGTTGGTCATTGGAAGAGGGCCTCGCGTATGTCAACTCCGGTCGAGTGTACTGCTGCATACCCCTTGAAAAGTTCACCTCGGGACCTGTGTATCCCATATTGGTGTATTTCGCAATCTCAATTTTTCTATCAATGCCCGGAGTCGAAGCTAAACTCCTCGATGGTATATTTAGTGGATAATTGGACTCGTTATTGTAATTATTGTACGGATTTGAAGGTGTAGAGTAGTTTATAATCGAAGAGGCCAACTGTTGCTGAGGCGAAACATTGGTCTGAACTGTTAATGGCTTAGGGTCTGGAATATTCTGATGAATATAATGCTTCATTGATTCCTCACGCGAATTCATATGCATTGTATCAACATTCTGGGTACTTTGACTCTCCATGGGTGGCATATTCCGACTGACCTCTTCGAACCTGTGACTCAACTGAGCCGATTCTGATTCGTTATATGCTCGTTTTTTCACCGGAAACATCGCATTTTGCACCATCTTCTCATTCACTTTATTCTGATTCTGATCTTCCTGTCGGAACGTCTCCATTGGAGGATGGGGCGACGGTGATTGCACATTATTGGGTGAATTAACATAATTTTGTATATTCTTGGCTTGATACTGATCCGTTAGTGACTTATTCGTATCGTAATAAGATGGAGGATTGACATTTTCCGGATTATAAGGAGGTGTGGGATTCGTGTTACTATAATTCGGGGTATGTGTATAATAGGGCGAGTTGGGGTACGTATAAGGCATGTTTTGTGTTGTATTAGGAGTGTAAACGTGCTCAGAACATTGGGCGTATGGCGATTGGGGGTTATCTCGAGGACTACACGACTTATCGGGGCTGCTTTTATTCGAGACCGTATCTTGGTAGAAGCCAACTCTGATTTGTCCGTTAAACGGGGGATATGGGGCGGCTTTGGGAGATACGTCCGGGCGGGGCGAAGCCATCACAGGGGAAGCTCCAGAAGGAGATCGGTGCATGGGAGATGGGTATGGGGCCGGGTAGGCCCCAAGTCTTTCATCTATTCCAACTCTAGGGGAATCCATGTCTTGGCTGAACGAAGAACGTTCCGATATGCTACTTCCGGTACTTACTTTCCTTTGTCTTGGCACAGGTTGGCCATGGGTAGCGACTGGACTGTCGATACTAGGGGAAAGTTCAGGGACTGGAACTTTTGTTTCCTCTTTAGATTTAGGATCTGTTTTGCAATCGTCAGTTTTCTCGCTTTCTTTTACTTCCGATTTCGGGTCATTTTTCTTTTGCGATGATTGGATTTTCGGCGCACCGAAAGCTTTAAACCAGGCACTTAAATTTGGAGTCGCTCCACTCATCATGCTAGATTCTTCTCTCACGGGAGATTCTTTCTTTTCGATTTCTGTTTTGGGTTTAATCTGAGTTTCTTCTTTAATATCCGTATTAACGCTCGACTGAAATGAAAACTTTTTGTCTTTTTTGTTCACATTTTCAGATTCCTCGGGTTTTGTGTCGTCGACAAATTTATGCCGACCGAAACTATCCAAAACCGAGCCTAAACTCAGCTTAGGAGCGTTATCGTCAGTTTTGACAATCAACGAATTTTTTGTGTCTTTATTTTTCGATAGCGGGCCTAGAGGAAACAATTCATCTGTCTGTTTCGAGCTCTGAACACTCGATATTAAATTGCCTTTGCTTTTTCCAGGTTGTAGACGATCTATGGTCCTTTGCACTTCTCGGCGTTTAAGAAATTTCACCGGATCTCTACTGAATGTTCGTCTCTTTATGTCTTTCCCAATTCCCTCCTTCTTCAAATTGAATTTTTCAACTTTCTTCCGAGGATCATTGTCAATTTTATTAACAATATCGAAATCATCTAAAGGAGGATAACAGGGTGAATTGCTCGCCGAACTAAATTCCGAATATTTTGGTGTGTCATCTAACCACTTGTTGATGTCTTTCAGCGTTTGTTCGGTAGCAATTGTCAAAGCATCAATCGACGCATTTTTACTATTTTTCGGATTTGTTTTCTTCTTTTTGTTATCAGTAGTATGCAAACTCTCCATTGTGCTATTACTATCTTCGAAATCGAGATCTTTCTTCAAATGAGGTTTACTCACTTTATCCTTTATCTTTCGGGTTTTGTCCTCTTTGTCTTTCTTGAATTTTTCCTTGTTTTCTTTAAAAGTGTCCAAGTCGAAACGGAACTCATCGTCGTTCAATTTATTCGAAATTTCACTTTTGGCTTTTAATTTTTCTATAGTTTCTCGAAGCTTATTATGTTTATCTTTTGGTTTTGATGGTGATGTGGTCACCTTGTCGTTTTGCTTCTTTGTTGAAGTATCACATGTATTTATATCGTCTTGCTTCTGCTTACCTTTTGAGAGAAAAAAATAAGAATTAGAAAAAACCTAAGTGATATTCTCCTATTACTCACCTTTAGGTCCTGAATGATTTTCGGTGTCCTTATCTTCAAAAGACTTATGTTTCTTTGGGAAAAAATCGAACCTGTTATCAGGACTGGAAGGGACACTTGAAGGCGGAGGACTACTGCTACAACTTCTCCTAATTGAATCTCTACTGACACTCCTGCTACGACTTCTACTTCTCACAGGACTTGAAAATTTCTCTTTCTTGTGTTTGTTATTAGTAGAGTTCTTTTTATCTCGTGCATTTTTCTTCGTGTCGTTTTTATCTTTTTTAGATATTTTATTTGTTTTCTTACTATTTTTGTCTTTTTTATTGGACAATATCTTTTCATCTTCATCGATAAGCGAATCGTAGGAAATACTCCTTTTACCCAGAGATTCTTCAGAAAGCGAGTGCTCCCTCTTTTTATCCGTTTTAGCTGCGAGAGTAGGTTTACGCTTGGACGATTTAGATTCTGATTTATTTTTTCTAGCTTCTTTTACGTCTAGTTCAGAGTTGGGAAATTCGACTGCAATTTCGTCGTCGGATGATGAAATTTGGTCCAAAAATTTCTCGGTTGCTCTTTCAAAAACCTTCAATAAGTTATCGACCATTTCCGTATATTCTGAAATATGTAACGATTTAACACATTGATGAGTTATTAAATATTATTTTTTTACCATTTTCAACACCATTGTAAAGTCGACAATTATCAACGATTAACTGGAAATCGTCTCTGAACTTTGCAAAGTTCTTGTAATAACCTGCATCCAACCTTTCTTCCATTCTTTGCAAATCCATTGGTTTCCTAATAACTGTGTAATAATTAGGTGCGTAATCTTCATCAACAGGATCAGCAAAGGGCCATGCATCTTCATGATTTTTTACATAATCTAAGATTTTGTGCATTCCTGTTATTAGATCTTCGTCTGTTTGGCGAAACCTAAAATTAGCACTTCACTCAAAATCCATAAAATCTTTCTCATACAGAATTACCATACAATTACAGGGATCGGAAGGAGCAGGGACATGCAATGGAAGAAAACTTTCACAAACGCAAATTTATTTATAAATTGTAAATATCACCAATGGAGATAAAAGTAACTTACACTTGGGAAGTTTTCAGTTTTTTCTTATGTGTGTTGGCAACTGGTTGGATGACAATTTGCCCCGTAGCTGCCGCCAGGGAATTGTTTGTTTGCCGACCAACTGTTGTGGTTGTAGAAGATGTCGAGGACTTGGAAGTCTCCTCGTTTGTTTTCTTCCTTTTTGAGCTCTTGGGCGCAGATGCTGCATCTAACAAGAGGTTAAAACAATTTTTGTTATTAAAAGAAAAAAACACACGTTTAAAAAAAAAACTATTCAGAAGCTCAGAAAATCTTATCAACTTGTGCCATGAATGCCATGATACTTGATTGAAAAGGTAAGTTTTTTAGTAAAGAACCGATTTCTCCAACAAAAAAATTTTTGACAAAAAATTAACACTGGCTATGCAAACACTATGAATACTTAGAGATTTCAATAAATAATTATAAATTAAGAAAATTTAGAAAAAAATGAGCAGATTATTAATTAATTAATTAATTGTTTTATGAAAAAGTTTAATGCTACAAGAGTTTTAAATAATGACAAGTTTGTTTTCGTTGTAAAATATTGTTTTTTACTTATAAATATATGTTTTAAATAAGAGAGCCTCAATTGTGGCAACTTGTACAACTTAAGGTTACAGTTTATAGTTTAGTACCTTTACTGTTAGAGGAACTTGTTGACAATTTTCTTTGTCTTCCCTTGGACTTCTTTTGCCGCGCTTTAGTTCCGCCCATTTCATACCGTCCTTCAAAGTCTTCACTTTGGCTATCTTCACTCTGTTCTTTAAGTCTGTTCCTTCTTTCATAAGCTTCTTTTCTTTTTATTTCCAAATCGCGCCTTCTTTGCCTTTCTTCCTCTTCAAGAGGATTGTTTTTGGGAGACTCACTCGTTATCTCTTCTTTTTCAGTTGTATTTTCCTGTAATAAGTTTTTGTGATAAATGTTTAAACAACTTGACTTCTTACTACTTTTCTTAAACGTCGGGAAGTTCGCCTCGGTTGGTTTTCCAGCAATCGCTTTCTGGCCAGCCTTTCCTTTTCCCGAAACAACCTTGGCAATTCAGGTAAAAAATTCTCACTTAAAGTACGATGTAACTCTCTTTCACACCTGGCAGTGGATTTCTTAAACTTCTTGTTAAGTTGAAACCAATCGTCTTCCGTGAAACAAATAACTTGCCACACAGATTTCTTCTTATTATTTTTAGTTTTAAAATCTTCTCTGTACAATCTAGTACCATAAAAATACCAATAAGCAGATTCGTTGCTATCATAACCTAGAGGCTCAACTCTTAAACTGTCTGCTTCTAAATTTTTTAATTGGTCAAGCACATCATCGGCATCTAAACGAAAATCACAGAGTGCATGTAAAATGTCCACTTTTGTTCTCAAAGGTAACAATTGAAAATCTATGTCTGTATTAAACGGGTTGTATTGATCATGTTCCTGACATTTTTGACGAAAAAGACGTCTCAGGAACATCTGGTAATTGAACGTTGAGATTTCATTGTTTGGTAAGCACCCACTGAGAAGCCTCACGATAAGTTCTTGGAGCCAAGAGGTCTCCTCCGTTCCATCAGTCAAGAGAGCTTCCTCCAAATCCTAAATTAAAACAAAATTAGTTAACACAAACGTAAAGTGCTGTTTTTTCAGGCTTTACCTCAATATCAAAATCCAAAAGGTTAAATGCTGTTCGAAACAATGAACAAAAATGTGCAATGCTTGGAACCTCCCACCATGATTGAATATCTGAAATAACGACAAGAATTAAGAAAAACAATACTTAGCAAGCAAAATCGGCGAATTTTCGTAAACACACCTAGGATGCTAATGAAAGTTGGAAACATAACCTATACGATGATCAATACATGTAACGTTGTTAATTCACATTAATCTCGACGAAACTCCCCAAAAAGTCATGAATTAACAAACTGACGACTCGAACGGCGGATAATCAGCAACATTTAACGCACTATAGGCCTTTGGGTGTCAAAAAGAATGCCATTTCTTCAACAAGCTTTGATAGGCTTCCCCCAAATCTGCGTACTAGTGCAACCTAGCGTCTATTTCTACGTCACTTAACGTCGTCACAGGCGGCGTAATTTACCACAAAATCACCGTAATTCCCTCAATTACTCGATATTACACAATGTAAACATGTTCCAAACGAATCGCAGAAAATTCCTTACAACTGTCAGACTCACTTTGAAAATTCGCCTTTTGAAAAACCGGAAGTTATTAGAATAGTGCTGCTTTTACCGCTTCTTATTGTATTTGATATTGACCAATCACAAAGCAGCATTTTAAATAGGTGAAAGACCTTTGTTTTGTTTGACGCTTTTGACAGCAAATCGTGTGTTTTTTGACAATATTTTCATAATGGGTTATGAGAGTTGCATGTTTATATTTATTGCGATGTGTAAATGTAATCCCTGTGATACTAACACCGAATTTAAGTAATATCCGTATGGATGTTTTATTAATAGTGTAGGGATTTGTACTACAAAATGTCTTCATCAAGAAATGATTTTCCTTTGGAAGCCCTAAATATACACGGGCCCACCTTCCTTAAACATGCCTTAACTAGTTGCACTGATCCGCTGAAAGCCATTGAAGAGTTTCAGGTAATTTTTACACGATTTTACTAATAGACTTGTTAATAAATTACGTTTTCTTAAAGGTCACAAATGGGATACTTTTACCCTCATTACGTCCAATGCTTCCATTACTTGATCTACATGGAGTGAGAAGATTGGATTTTCACATGTCAGTTGTAGAGGTAAAGTATTCCTACTAAATATTAATCCTCTCATTAGTAACATATTTGATGTGTTAAACTTAAAAGTTCACTGGAACTGGCATAAATCCATTTTACTTTTAGAAAAGTTATACTGCCCAATAAGTTTTGTCAATAAAAGGTGAAGGTGTCTACAAAGACTGTATTTTTGGTTTTTATAAAATGAGCTATTGTAACATACAAAATATTATTATGTCTGACATGCAAAATATTTTGTGTTAATAAAATGTTTTCAACTATTTCATAGAGTAAATGCAATATTGAAATTGGATTATTCCCTTGAGGAAATTGTGATAAAATTACATTGGATGAAATTAGATAAATTATTAGGAGTCCAGATGATGATTATTAAAGAACGAAACTAGTCAATTTCAAGAATTTGTTTAATTTCTGTAAACTATATAGTATTTTACGGTAATACAGGGTGTTTCACACAACTTTACGAGGCTTGTGCCTAATGTACGCACCCAAATATACAAAAGTCACAGAACACTGGATACAAAAAACATACATTTAATTATTTAATTTTTGGAAACCCATGACAGTAGTTGTCAAACCAATCACTGTTTCATTAATAGTCATAAACTGCAGAAACAATTATCATTTGTTCTATCAAAAGACGGCATGAATGTTTCTAGTTTATCTATCTTAATCACTACCTAACTAAAAACGTTGTATTTTTTTAAAGGGTGAACAAACTAGAGAAGATTATACAATTTTTCAAAATTTGTAATCAAGTTCGTGTCGCAATATGTATTATTGATTGCATCTTACAGGCGCAGGCCTCGTAAAATAATGTGAAACATCCTGTATATTATAAATATTAGTGAAATAGTGTCTAATAACATTTTTCTAGCGGCACAATCAATACAATTTTTAAAAGTTGTTTATATTAAGCGAAAATATTAAATACATATTAAAAATAAGTAAAGTTATTAGTTATTAAAGCACCATTTACATGCGTTCCAAAATATATAATAATTTTGTTATAGAGAGGATTATTTCGAGTAAGAGAAATCATCGTAATCCGTTATTTTCGAAGAATCATAGTTCCTGTACTTAACAGCATTTTCAGTTTTTTTTTGTTATTGAAATATTGATACCTAATAAACTAACAACTGTAGAAAACCTTTACATAAGTTGGTCGATGATGTGATTGATTTATTCTTGACTGGTGTCAGGGACCATTTATTACTTCATTATTTACAATTGCAATTATTGATTTTCAATTAAAAATTACCAACACTGAATTTCCTTTTTCGTCTTGTAATTATGTCAGAAGTTTTATTGTAAAAAGTATTCTTGTTGTATTTATTATAAGATATTAAATTCAATTTCTCTTAAAAAAAATGCTTCTGTGGCTTTATCTAGTATTATACCACCAAAAGTTTTTAAATAAAACGCAATGTTGGTTTACAATCTATTTGATACATAAACAAACGTGTAATCTCACAAAACCAACTTTGGTAGTAAAACGTCAAAGCATAAAGTGTTTTATGTGCCTCATTTAGGTCCTGCAAAATAAGTTTGCCGTTTGTGTAAACATAAATTCTATTAGTAAAAAATTACCGAACAAAGTTACAAACTTGCTGTATTTACTCTCTTTTGATAAAAAAATTAAAATTACGATGTTGATTCAGGAACTCCGAGAGAAACTAATCGCACACATCAATGAAATCGGCAAACAAGAAGGACGTGAAAGGGACAGAAAATTGAAAGATTTACTCGTAAAAAGTTTCCCTGTAGTTAAAGTGAAGGCTTTAAGGCCGATAGTGATGGCAATTTTGAAAAATACACCACAAATAGACGATAGCTATTTGAAAATATTAGTTAGAGATCGGGAATTGTACAATGACACTGATACGGAAGTCAAACGGCAGATATGGAAGGATAATCAGTCGCTTTTCGGAGATGAAGTTTCACCTCTTTTGAGTCAGTATATCAGCGAAAAAGAAAACGTATTATTTGATCACACCAACATAAGCACTCAGTTCTTCGGACCATCACCTAAGGTGCGACGTCAAGGGGAAGTCGTCCAGAAATTGGCACACATGATTGGAAACAGTGTTAAATTATACGATATGGTGCTCCAGTTTCTTCGTACTTTATTTTTACGAACCCGGAATGTGCATTACTGTACTTTGAGGGCCGAATTATTAATGGCCTTACACGATTTGGAAGTTCAAGATATAATTTCGATAGATCCATGCCATAAATTTACGTGGTGCCTTGATGCCTGCATTAGAGAAAAAAATGTGGATATTAAACGCTCAAGGGAGTTGCAAGGGTTTTTGGATAACGTTAAAAGGGGCCAAGAACAGGTTCTAGGCGATTTGTCAATGACTTTATGTGATCCTTACGCCATTAATTTTTTGGCTACGTCGGCCATAAAGATTTTACATCATCTAATTTACGTAGAAGGGATGCCAAGGGTAAGTAATCACTAATCATGTCAAGTATACCAAAAAAATTACCGAAGCACGTTTTGATAATTATAACCAAATTCCAAAAATTTTTAAATTATCGATTTTTAATGGCCCACAATTTTTTTGCTTAACATATGCTTTCGAGCTAAAAAGAGCGAAGATATTTTTTTTTCGAAATTCTTAATTTAGGAGAGAGGTCTAGATATTTAATTTGCCTGATTTCGTGGGAGATGGTATACAGGATGAAGGAAATAAAACCATTAAATTCGTCGCGACCTGTATTGCATCTTCTTCAGTTCTTCCTTGACTTCCATGTTCAGCTAACTAAAATTGTTCGCCTGAAGAAGATACAATGAAGGTATCGTAACGTCGCGACGAATTTAAGGGTTTTATTTCCTTTGTACTGTATACCATCTTCCTCGAAATCATATTTCAAGGACAAGCATCACAAAATGTAGATATTTAATAAGAATACATTTTAGGATAACACGATTTTAATTTTGCTTTTGCGAATGTTGGCTTTGGGACTAAGTGCCTGGGTAATGATTGACTCTCAAGACTTCAAAGAACCCAAATTAGACAGTCAAGTCGTAACAAAATTTTTACCAGCATTAATGTCGCTAATGGTCGACGACCAAGTGAGGCAGCTGTCGGGCAAATTGCCTCCAGATGAACGCGAGGCTGCCATTACAGTTATAGAACATTCGGGTCCTCTGCCAGATGCAGTGGAAGCCTACATTCAAGACAGTTCGGTGGCTAGTATTCTAGCTATGTACTACACCCTAAACGTGGCTCGGCTTAAAGACAGAGTAGGGCTGTTAAGAGTTTTGACAGTTTTGGCAAACTGTAAAGACGATCGGGCGTTTGAGGACCCGTTTCTGCACTCTCTCGTATGTACACCCATTTTTCTGTTAGTTATTATTTAAAAAAATGAATTTTCGCAGGTCATTTTTCTTATTCACAATCCAGAAGAGTTCCAAGCTGAGGATTTTTGTACTGTTCTTTTCGACGAATTCTTTTTCGCTGGATTGTCGAGAGAGAACGTGACGAGACATTTACTCAAATTACTTTGGTATGTACATTCCCGATTACCGGCCAGTCGTTTACACACGTTAATGAAAGCGCTGCAACCGACTCACCAACACAGCGAAAAAGTTCACAGTTTATACGAAATGCTTCAGACTAAAGTTAATTCGCAAGAAGAAACTGCTGTACCTCTTGAAATGGATATTGACCTCAATTCACCCCTAATGAGTGTGCCAACACCTGCTCCATATCATCATACTTTATGAAAGAATACAACGGTATTTTATAATTTTTTAGAATGTTATTAATAATTTCGATTATTAAAGATTAACAATGTTTTTTTCCTATTTTTGGCATTGTACAGCAGCATCGTTTACTAGTGGCAGAATAAATTTACGTGTCAATTTAATATTGCCCTGTCTGAAACACACAACATTCTTATTTTTTACAGGAATTTCCGTAAGTTGTAATTCATGTTTACTGTCACTCAAGATTATGATCAAGGTTTTTTTAAAAATGGAATCAGTAGAAAAAATCGCTATGTCTCTTTTAACGTCTTCACTAGCGTCAATCCCAATTAACACAACATTAGATGTCTTGAAATCACTCGCGAAAGCAGCAATAGCGCCATCTGCATCCCCACGATTCAAATATTCCTCAACCAGGATTGGTAAACCCGGAATGGGAATACCTTTGACCACCTTTAAGTCTCTGTAAAGTAAATCTTGGGTACTTAAAGTGGACGTGTCATTGTGGATTTTCCACAACACATTGAACAACTCTTTTCTTGCTTGAGTTGGTTTAAGAATGTTTTCTAGATATTGGGCAGCTTTAAGGTCATCCTCAAATGTTTTTCCATATTCTTTATCAAGGCCTATCGTATCGTAAATAATGGTAGCTACAAGAAACCTCAAAATTAACAATAAAGCAGATTTTTAAAATATTTACCATACAAAAGGTGACTTAAGTCATTAAATAAAATCGACAACTTTGACTCAATGATTTCATTTGTGATCAAAGTACAACAAGAACCAACTATTTTAATTACAGTCTTTTCCACGTGATCACCGTGACAAATTTCTTCTTTATTGATGGTCCTGTGGTCAAAAATTTCCAGAACGGTTTCTTCTAACACCTTATCATGGTTTGACAATACGTGGTGGTCTACTAAGCTTGTTTTTACTTTGGCTGTTTTTAGGATATTTGAATAATTGATTTGATCTCTGTAATTCATAAAAGTTAGAGACAAGATACGCTTTGATAACTGTTTACTTGTAAACGAGATTCTTGGGATCAATATCGCATTTTTTTAACAAGTAATTTGTTTCAGTCCTCAGGGGGAAATACTTTGCTTCAACGTTCATTACGGGTATTACTAAATCATTAGTGTTACGTGAATGTATTAAATAAGCGAGAGACAATGCGGAAATAGTGGAATCTAAGTCGCAAGATTCATTCCCAAGCACCAGGTGAATATTTTTGAAGATTTCAATGTTGTTCTAAAAAAATATTAAAGAATGAAGTACGTAGTCTATAGGTATACTAACTAAAGCTTGTTTGGCTTTCTTTATAAATTCCAAAAACTGTTCCATTTTATCCAGTACTTGCAAAGAAACAAACGGAATAGATTTTGTCTTGTCGTTGTCTAATTTTGAGGTTAGGTTATTCGTTCTTAGCATTAGCAAAATGAAGCTGATAAATAATTTGTTTACATTTATTTGTGTAAATATCAACCTTTGGTGCTTAATCACATTACAATTAACAAAAAAGGAACATTTTAACTTGAATCTTTGGGAATGCCAGCTACAATAGAACTCTCAATACCACAGTGGTCTTCTCCCCTTAGTATCTTGAAAGTTCCGTTATCTCCCCAATCTGAGTTCCAGGAATTAGCAATCAGCCAATAAGGAGTGCCCTTTTCTGTACCCCACCCCAAAATCCTGATTGCGTGACCTCCTAAAGCTTCTCCTTTAACATGCTGATACACTCCTGTAACATTTCTTTTAGAAACAATCATTTTTTCCCCAAAATTACCTTTTTTATAATTGAGTAAATCTTCATACACTTCAAACGCGCCTTCTACAGGACCATTAGTCATGATTTCCTTCTGAATTTGCTGAACTTCGCTAGCAATAGAATAGGCCTCTTTGCCAAAATTCTTGTCTTTGTTATAAGGGACATTGTACCCCTTTTCGCACTCTTGTTTACAAGATGGCGTCTTGTTATCATCGCCGGTGCATGGGGGCCGTGTGCCGTTCACATGGTGCTCACAAGGGGCAATTTCATAGGGTCTGCAGCCCTGATTTGAGCCAAAACTGCCCCCCGAGACGATTCCCTTATTCACCCAGTAATGCCAAGCGGCTCCTGGGAAGCCCCCATTGCACCCCATCCCACAAGAGTAGCAGCATGATACCAAATCATCAGCTGAGAGCCTCACATTAACAGCGCCTTTTGAGTGAATGCATACGCGATCAGACATTGCCTCCACGGCTCCAAAAGCCTGAATAAAATTGTAAGAATTGTGCTAGATTTGTTTTTATTATTATCTCTTACCCAACATGACCCGCATGACCCTTGATCTCTGATCTCGCGGATTGTTGGACAATTGGGCCATTGCTTGCGTGCATCGAAATCATCGGGAATTTCCGTGGTGTCTAAAAGGTGTCTTTTGACCGTAGGCATGTGGTATTTGCTGTTGGGTGGAACACCCATGAGGCGACGGATATACGACATGGGGACATTTTCGGCAAAGTTGTGACCAGCTTTCCAGGTGGACTGTTTTTCATTAATTTGTTGAATAAATTCTTTAGATAATGGGTTCACGGCAAGTGTTAAAGATGCTGCTGCGCAAATTATGGTGAGATTTAGTAGAATCCTCATTTTAATTTAGACCTGGAAATTACAAAAATTGCTTGTTATTTCATAACACAATAAAAACTACTCACTGACTAGAAAGTCTTTCCTGTAACTATTGATTCTATTTATTTGTTTGTCTGTTTACAACCGTTTATCAACTGAAGCCGATTTCCAGAATTATGAGTTTGTTTGCATGTATTTATCTTTATTATTCACACGAATCACAAGATTGCTGTATTCATTTATTAAACAAATTAGTAACAATAACAAATTACTGTTTTGGTAATACGCATACGCACCATCTTTTGGTGAATGTAGAAAATACTTTCTTTATTGATTAAAGTTTACTTCACAGACTAAACTTGGGATTTGAAGTTGACCTAATTTTTTTAATTACAATGGGAACTCCACCTGTATAAAACATGTTTTTAAAAAAAAAACACATAAAATACATATTTTTATGCTTCATAATTTTGTTTTATTTTCATATTATTTAGACACATCTTTGTGATCAATTGATCATTCACTTCGATATCATTCAAAAACATGTCATATTTTTGAAAGTTTTAGGTTTTTATCCACAATCACTCTATAAAGAGATTTTATTCCACACTTTAGATGCGTATAAAGTACCACTTTATCCACTAGTGGAACAAAGTAACTTTATTCCACTGTTAGTAACCAGCGCACCGCGTAACAGCTTACTACGTTTAACCGAAAGCACATTTGGCGTGACGTTTAAATGTCAGTTTAATTTTTAATTAAGTTTGGAATAATTTGGGCCTGTGATTGTGGATAAAACGTTATATTGCAGTCGTGTGTTAGTCGGGTTTTATCCACTTAAGAAAATTAACCGGTCGAACTGACGTTCTAGCGGTTAAACATTCTTGCGTGGATAAAACGCTACCTAACACACTCTTACAATAAATAACTATTACTCTCTTTTATAAAACTTTGTAAGTATATGCCTACACATTTATGACAGATTTTTCTTTATTTCTCATTGTAATAAAACAATGCACTTAATTGTTATAAAACTAAACACACAGGATATTCCAGCTAGGATTTTCTTGGCCAATATTTCTACCTTTTCTTATTTACCTATTAGAATACTTATACAGATTTAGAACAGCTAAACACATACTGGAAATAAACGAATAACAAGAATAAGAATAATATTTTTTAGTAATCACATTTTAATTACTATTTAAATATACAATTTAATGTTACGAAAGAGAACAAAAAAGTGTGTATGGATTCGCCGGGTTAATAACGTCGAAAGAAGAAGAAATTCAGTATATCTTCATGGCTTTTTTGATTCTGTAAAATCAATAATTGCTAATTTTTATTTTCTTTAAGCGTATTTCAAATCATATGTATGTGTGAGTTTTTATTTTATATACTGGTAGGTATGTATATTTTTTATATGCATGTGTATCTTAGAAATCTATAAATTTTTGCTGTTAGTTGTTATTCTTTATTTAAAAAGTCGTTTTTAAACTTCTAAATGAAAAGAGCAGGTTAATTGTAATTCTGTAAATGTTTTTATCACCGTAATTTTTGAATTTTTAAGGGTTATATAATTTGGAAAGAGATTAGATACTTAGTTGAAAATATTAATGAATCTTATCTTATACATAAGTGTTTTGTTTGCGACTAAATGATAAGATCAAAATAATTTGTTAAAAACGTTGTTGGAATTTCGTATCAATTTTTTAATAACAATTCTAGATTTGAATTATCATTAAAATTTTTTGCAATGTTGCCAAACAGAACAAAATATTTTTGGTGGATGCGCCGGTTTAGTGCCATTGAAGGTTTTGGAAGTTTAGGACAATAGAAATTATAAAGTCTATTTTTATTCACAATCATAAACTAATAATCACATTATCACATTACCTTGCCTTTGAAAAGTTGGGAAGTACAGCATTTCAACGTCATTTTACAATTGATATGATTAAATATCAGGTTCAGGTTGGAAAATGGCCGTTTTAGCTATCACATTTGTTATAGCACTTTAATTTTTATTAATTATTATTTTCTGAAGGCAAATGATTAAAAAATACGACTGGTTCAATACTTTTTATTCACTTTGTGTGTACATGTATAAAAGTAGTATATAAAATGTTACTTCTGAACCAGAACATTTGGCGTCTTAAAAAACAAGGCAGAATCTTACAAATTCAGCTGTTCTCCCAAAGGTAAACAACCGAAAAGGGCCCTAAACCTCTCAAAAATCATTAATTTTTATCCACCCCAAAAGTTCCCAAATATGTGTAGACCACCAAAGATTGGGCACACGAAAAAACCGTTAAAATCTCAAAATAATGGAAAATTACCTCAAGAACGCCCTAAAAAACTAACAAAATACCTTGTTTTTACATACCCCAAAGTATCTTTTTACTTCTGGACTAGGACATTTGGCGTCTTAAAAATCAAGGCAGAATCCTACAAATTTAGTGTTTTCCCAAAAGTAAACATTCGAAAAAGATCTAAAAAACTTACAAAATGTCTTGTTTTTGAACACCCCAAAATGACTTTTTATTTCTGGACCAGGACATTTGGCATCTTCAAAAAACAAGACAGAATCTTACAGCTGTTATCCCAAAGGTAAACATCATTACCATTACCAATTATTATCCTGGTCCAGAAATAAAAAAGCCATTTTGGGAATGTAAAAACAAGAGATTTTATTTGTTTAATATTATTACCGGTCGCCACTCCGACCGGTGAATTTTTTGCATGTGCCAATGCTTTCTCCAGAAGTAAAAATCCATTTTGGGGTGTCTCAAAACAAGGAATGCTGTAAGGTTTTTTTGGATGCTTTTAATGTAATTATGTTTGATTGCGGATGATTTTCAGCAGTTTTCCCATGTGCCCATTTTCTGGTGGTCTATTGAGTTTCGAGTATTTTTTGAAGCATAAAAAATTATGATTTTTGAAGGAATTTCACAACATTAGTTTGTAAAGCGCCAAATACTATAGATGTACCTCCTTGATTTAGTGTTGTTTTTACTTTTTTTTTGCATGCGCCAAATGGCTTGGTCCAGAAATAAAAAGCCATTTTGGGGTGTGTAAAACACGGTATTTTGTTAGTTTTTTAGGGGGTTCTTAAAGTAGTTTTAAAGTTTTTTTCGTGTGCCCAATTTTTGTTGGTCTACAGATATTTGGTACTTTTGGAGTGCATAAAAATTAATGTTTTCTGAAGGGTTTTAGGTCTTTTTCGGATGTGTACCTTTGGGAGAACAGCTGAATTTGTAAGATTCTGCCTTGTTTTTTTGAAGACGCCAAATGTCCTGGTCCAGAAATAAAAAGTCATTTTGGGGTGTTCAAAAGCAAGACATTTTGTAAGTTTTTTAGATTTTTTTCGAATGTTTACTTTTGGGAAAACACTAAATTTGTAGGATTCTGCCTTGATTTTTAAAACGCCAAATGTCCTGGTCCAGAAGTAAAAAGCCATTTTGGGGTGTGTAAAAACAAGGTATTTTGTTAGTTTTTTTAGGGCGTTCTTGAGGTAATTTTACATTATTTTGAGATTTTAACGGTTTTTTCGTGTGCCCAATCTTTGGTGGTCTACACATATTTGGGAACTTTTGGGGTGGATAAAAATTAATGATTTTTGAGAGGTTTAGGGCCCTTTTCGGTTGTTTACCTTTGGGAGAACAGCTGAATTTGTAAGATTCTGCCTTGTTTTTTAAAACGCCAAATGTCCTGGTTCAGAAGTAACATTTTATATACTACTTATAAAATATCTACGCATATGACTTGAGATGTAAGTACCTTAAAACAGGGTTAAACCGCCTTGAAATTTTATTTTTAAAAATATGTTTTAATAATCATAGAATCGATAGGTTTTATATCTAAAAATCATTTCGTGCTAAACAGGCCCATATAGTAGGTAAAATAAGAATTGTAATAATTAAAAAATGTTTAAAGTTTTGGGGATACTGCGTAAGGATTATTTTCAATGCCACATTCATTTTGTCCTCTTAATATCTTGAAAAATCCATTTTCACCCCAACTTTTGCTCCAAGAATTAGCAATGAGCCAGTAGTCCAGTCCTTGTTCAGTTCCCCATCCCACTATTTTAACAACATGGTAACCGGTGCTGTCTCCACTTACATGATGGTAAACTCCTAAAGTAATTTATTTGAGATTATTCGACTTTAATCTTTAATTAAGATCTCACCAGATCCATAATTGTAGAAATCTTGATACACTTTAAAATTTACAATAATAGGTCCATTTGTCATAATTTCATACTGAATGTTACTAATTCCAGCGTCAATAATGTAATCTTTGCTGCCATAATGTTTATCGGAACTGTAACTGGTTGGGTAACCACTGCGACAACTTTTGGTGCATGAAGGAGTTTTGCCGTTATCGTGAGGATCTGCAGTATATGGTCTACAACCCTATACAAAATCACAATTTAATTTGTATATTTGCCAAAGTAAGTGATGTTTACTTCATTTGAATTCAAATCTCCACCAGAGACAAGTCCTTCGTTAATATAAAAATCAAAAGCAGCCATCATGTAACCACCGGCACAGCTACCACAAGTTGTACAACATGAAAGAAGGTCTTCTGCGGAAAAGAAAAATTTCTGTGCTCCTGAGGATTGAATACATATTCTGTCAGACATCGACTCTACCGCTGCAAATGCCTGTACAAGATGCATCGCTTTATTTATTGTATTATAGTAAATATTAAACAAACAAAAAATTACCCAACATGATCCACACGATCCTTGATCTCTAATTCTATTCAAAGATTCACAATTTGGCCACTTCGTTCGGGCATCAAAAGTTTTTGGAATATCTTCAAGGTTGAAATTATGTATAACTTTTTCTGGCTTGTAATTAGGATCAGGATGAAGTCCCAGGAATCCGTTTAGTGTGTAGAAAAATTCATTAGAGGTGTTTTCGGGAAAATTTCGACGAGCGACCCAATGTGATTGTTTTTGATTAATTGAATCGATAAAATCTTGTGATTGAATATCAATTTCTGCTCTTGAAACAGAAATTGAGGCAAGCAAAAACACAATCAGAATATGCATGTTTGGTAAACTTTCTTATTGTGACCAAAAGATAAAATAAAACACTATTTATACTTTAATTATTATCATGTCCTTGATAATATCTTGTAGATATTTGTTGATAATTTTAAAGTGGGACACATTAGACTCTAATTTTAAAAATGACATTTAATAATTTTACAAGTATAAGAATAAATATCTTTATTTTGTACTCAATGTTAAAGAGTGCTTTTATCTACTAATTTCAGTAGATAAAGTAGTCTTTTATCGTCTAGTGAAATAAAGTAATTTTTATCTACTGTTTATATTCAAGAAATTCAGATAGATGGGTACAAAATAAAACGAAATATTATACACGACGATAAAGATTGTTTATCTACTCGTGAAAAAAGTCTACTCATCGTGACTTCGCCACTTGTAAATTTAACCTTTTCACTCGTAGATACACAATTTCTTTCTCGTCTTGTATAATAAATAACTATTTTTTTTTTAACCAATACAACTTTCTTTTTGTTGGTTACAAATGCAAAAAATACTTGATAATTTAACCGCATGAATTTTAATTAAGTAATTTGGCCAATTACTCCCTAAATTAGGTATAATAAATGAATTGCCCACAAAGTTTAGATTCCTTTTATGTCGTCTTTTACTTTACGAATAAATAAATACTCGTACTTACCTAAAATGCTGCCGGCATTATGTCGCACAAAAATATTCTAATTAATTTATGCTAATTAATATTATTTTTGTTCAGATTCTCATTTTCTGCTAAATTGAGCTTGAATCGTTTTTTTGCTCTTAATGCATGTTATAAAAAGTATTTCAATTAAACTTTATTGCATCAATAAAAAATAAAACCACTCCTAAAATTAGATGCGTCAATTAGAAAATGTAAAGCTCTGTTAGCTCGACGTTTACCAAATTTCAAACTAAGAAGAAAGGAACAAAAACGATTTTCAGGAACTAGACATGAAAATTAAACAATTTTAGAAAAAATAAATCGAGGTTTAAAAAATATTTATATAAAAAAAGAAACAATTAAGATCAAGTGAATATTATAGCTTACAGCGCATTTAACTGGTAAAAAATTGAATAAAATGAAAACATCATCCAAGATAAGTTTTCAGCTTTTATTTTTTTAGCATTACCATTTTATAGAAATGTAGTTAAAATTAAACTCATTTTAAAATTTAGACTTTACCAAATGGTTTAGAAAAAATAATTTAATTTTTTTACTAATGAAAACTAGTATTTTTATTATAATTTTAAACACTTATTTCGTAATGACATATTTATTATTTATAATCTAGGCATTCCGGCGACGATGTCTCCTTCAATTCCACATTCGTTAGAACCTCGCAGAATTTTGAAATACCCTTTGTCTCCCCAGTCTTCATTCCAGGAATTAGCAACTAGCCAATAAGGAGTCTCATTTTCTACACCCCAGCCCAAAATTTTAATAGCGTGTCCTCCTGCGTATTCTCCATCCACATGTTGGTAGACACCTAAATACTCCTATTGTTATCTTTTCAATTATTGCAAAATAAGACCCACCGCTCTTGTAACTAAGAAAATCTTCATAGACATTAAAGCTAGCTTCAACTGGCCCATTAGTCATTATTTCAGTTTGGATTTGTTTGACAAAAGCGTCAATGCTGTATGAGGATCCGTGGGTCAAGTCGTTTCCATACGTAAGCGAAGATCCACTATCACACTGTTTTTTGCAAGCCGGAGTTGGTTGAACTGGCCCACATGGAGGCAAATCCCCATCAGCATGGTGCTCACAAGGAGCGAAAGAATAAGCTTTGCATCCCTATAAACATCATGAAGTTATCAAATACAAATTTTTACTTAAACTCTTACTTCAGTGGTTCCATAATTACCCCCAGTCACAATTCCGCCGATAGACCAGTGAAGCCAAGCCATTGCAGGGATTCCCCCGTTGCATCCATATCCACAAATTATACAACAATCGAGTAAATCCTCAGCAGAGATGTTGATTTTGACAGTGGCATTCGAATGGATGCACATTCTGTCACTCATTGCTTCAACAGCTCCAAAAGCCTGAATTTTCTTTTAAATAAATGTTGGAAAAGTCACTAAACTCACCCAACAAGAACCACAAGTTGATTGATCACGAATGTTTCCAATAATGGAGGCGCAATCCGGCCATGCTTCTCTCGCATCAAAAGACTCGGGGATGTCTTGATCGTTTATCGAGTGATTTTTTTTTGGTAGCGTTGGGGTGATTTCGGTTTTGGGAAGGACACCAAGAAGTTTTTTAATGTGTGATATTGGAGTGCCAATATCGAAATTTCTTCCCGCTTTCCACGTTGACTGTTTGCTGTTGATTCGATTTATAAATTCGTCCGAGAGAGGGTGGAGATGGACGCTTCCATAGACTAGGGCTACTGTGGCCAAAACCACGGCAGAATGTACAAAGTATTTCATCTTTAGAAAATTTGAGAACTAATTCTAAAGTTAGTAGGTGAGACAATTTATATGTTGAAACTGAATGGTTATGAATAAGTATTGATAGACTTTTATATTTCCAGATGACTTTTCTTTTTATTTTGAACAATGTTATCAATCATCAGTATGAAGTGTTTAAATAAAGTGTTTGGACCAAACCTTGAGATAAATCAATTGGTATTATTGTTGCAGTTGTTTGTTTGCCCTTTGTTACGTCCTTTTCTTTTATATAAAATCAGTGAAAGTACGTATTGATGCCAAGAGTCACATGGCTCTTGGTCATTTCAATAAAAGCACTATACAAGCTTGACTACTGGATTTTATCATTTATTTTTTTAGCAATTTTATTATTCTTTGATGATACCAACCTGGTTGACAAAAAACATGTAGACATGAACAAAGGCACGTTTATTTTGATATTTTGTTAACTGAGATTACAGATTGCCAAAATAATATTGGTTTTATATTTAAGTTATTTTTGTGGAAAATTTGTTAACGTCTATTTAGGCTTTTAGCAATTTTTAAATAAAATAGCTCAAACACAAGCTACACATTTCCTGATCAATGACGCCGTTATTAACAAATTAAAATAATTCATTTTTAAAATATACCTAATCTTACTTGAAAAAAGATCTAATCAAAAATGTTAGGAGTATTTCTCTCACATACGCGAAATTAATTATTAAAATAAGTATCAATTTTGATGTTGTTTGTATAAAGAGGAGCGTTTGGAGAAAGTTTAACTGTTCAACATTTAGAAATCCTCTACATTAGTAAACAGAAAACAATACTTTTTAAATAGGGTATAACGAATTTCAGTCCCTGTAACTTTTTTAATTCTCCAGACTCAAAAAGTACCTGAAAAAGTATGTTAAATTGTCACTACTGGAACAATCAACTTGAATGAAACTGTGATGCAAGTTATTGTTTTCATTTACCTAAACATTCTCGTTACCGTTGCCACATTTTTTTTAAATTTTAGTCATTTTTGAAAACCAATTTAGTAAATAAATTTATGTTTATGTAATATCATTTCCGGGAAGGAGGAAAAGATTTTTTTTAATACTGATATATTAAATAACAGGCAGAAACTCAATAATACACACAGTTAAATTGATGTAAATAATTATCTACTTGTATGTGAATATTTTCAGTAAAAAATTATATTAAATATTATTTAAAATTGAAGTATTGTGTAAATATTGTTAAAAGATATTAAATTCCAATTAAATTTTATTTTTCTGTTTTATTTTTCTTGCTACATTCTACACCTTAAAAAGCTGGAATTCCACCGACAATATCGCCCTCAATTCCACATTCGTTCTGTCCTCTCAAAATTTTGAAATAGCCTTTGTCGCCCCAGTCTTCATTCCATGAATTAGCCGCCAACCAATAAGGCGTACCATCTTCCACACCCCAGCCTAAAAGCTTAATAGCGTGTCCTCCAGCAAAATCGCCAGTGGTTTGCTGATAAACACCACTCTTGTAGTTGAGGAAATCTTCATACACATCAAAATCGGCCTCAACAGGTCCATGTGTCATAATTTCAGTTTGAATTTGAGATTCCTCGGATCGGACTTGATATGCAGACCCTTTTCTCAAGTCAGATTTATACTCGATGTCTACTCCAGTGTCACATTGTTTTTTGCATTCGGGAGTTGGGACGATGTCTCCACAAGCAGGCAAGTCGCCTTCAGAGTGATGTTCGCAAGGAGGGACGGTGTAAGCTTTGCAACCCTTAAGAATTTTCAAAATTGGTATTAAAAAACTACGTTGTAAAAAGACTTACGTCTTTGGTGTCGTATTTGCCACCAGTTACAATACCGGTTTGTGCCCAATAAGCCCAAGCTTCGGTGGGCCATCCTCCATTACATCCATCACCACAATCGTAGCAACAAGTGTTCAAGTCTTCAGTTGAAATACTGACTTTGACGGTGGCGTTTGAGTGGATGCAGATTCGGTCACTTATGGCTTCGGCAGCACCAAAGGCCTGAAATTTGTACCAATGTTTTTTTTCACTTATTACAATTTTAGATCATACCCAGCAGGAACCACAAGAAGCTTGATCTCTGATATCGCCAATGATGGAAGCGCATTCTGGCCAGGCTTCTCTTGCATCAAACGATTCTGGAATGTCTTTAACATTCACGGAATGAACTTTCAGTGCAAGTTTGCGGGCATTTTCTTTCTTAGGAAGCACTCCAAGGAGCTTCTTGATGTTGGTTAGAGGAGTGTGGATATCAAAGTTTCTTCCAGCTTTCCATGTGGTTTTTTTGCTGTTGATTTCGTTTATGAATTCATCTGAAAGAGGGTGCAGTTTTACCCCTCCGTAGGAAAGAGCGATGGATGCAAGAACAACGGCACAAAGGAAGACGCACTTCATCTACAAACCTTTCAATTAGAAAGCAATCAGCTGCTATAAATTTTTACGTACTTTTTCAAAAGAAATTCTAGTAGGAACTGATCCTACATCTTGATTAGGCGCTTTTATATCAGCATATATAACGGATACAAATCCTTATGTCTGGGATTAAACAATGTTATCTTGAGACCGAAGTACTTTCAACGAAAATAATCTACTTGAATTGAGTTGATAACAATTTTTTAAAGTTGGACACATTATTTTCATCTTTTGACTGAAAATTACCAACCCGTGACCAATCAAAATGTTTGATTATCTGAATTTGACTAAACAAGCATTCTTTAGAGATCTTTAATTCAATTTTAAAAAATGTTTAGGCATAGATGTTTCCTCAAGTTTCTTTAAATTTTGGAATGTCGTATTTAGATTTTTGTAGGTACTTATGTTTTGTTGTAGCTTGTAAGTCTAGAGAATAATGTTAAGCAGGTATTTGTCTTTTTACTTTCCTCAACTATTTTTGGAAAAGTCTCTATACTGACATTTTCTTGTTCCAAATAATAAATAATGTAAAGTGTGTTTTATTTGTATTTCAATACTGTAACATATTATATATAAAAAATATTTTTTTTAAATTTGTAGTCATACAGTTTAAAAGCTTACACAATTACATTCAATTTTTGTATCAAAAAAATTGTATTTGCAATGCTCTTAATGTTTTCTTTTTAATTATTTCGCTCTTATTTTATAGGAAAATCAAAAATTCTTATTTTAGAAACAATACTTGAAAGACACTAAAAATACTTCACCTTAACTAAATATAAATTTGGCTTTAAACAATCTCTTTGTAAGATGGAAGTAAAAGTAAAGTATATGTAAGGTTTTGCTAGTTGAAAAGAAATGATTTGCAGTCGTCAGACATTCTTTTGATAGCTTCAAAAAATCAAGAGAATTACGACAAAAAAAATTGAGATTTGAGAAGAATAAATAAGTTTATTTTCAGCACTTTATTGTTGATTCCTGTTAAAAGTTTTAAAAGTGGTAACTATTAAATTACTATTTCCGAAACAAAACTACAAAATTTGCTCCCACTATAACAGTCAAAAATATGAGAATGTTTTTCTGGACAGTAAACTTTTGAAAATTGTCAAATCAGGTTACGAGTGTGTCCAATGCCCTTTGTAAATTTTTGTGAAAACGGGGTCAGCTACAAATTTCCCTGGTAAACAAAGATGACCTCTTTGTCGAAGTTATCCCTGCTTAGTTCCGGCGTCGCAATAATTTTCTCAGTTGAATGTTCCGCAGCAACGTCATCCTTTAAACATCACTCGTACCAGAAAAAGCTCCAGCATATTCCTTCTTGATTCGAACAACGCGCTGGCGTCTCCACATCCAGAAGCCGAGTGAATTCGGAGCACCGTCGTGACGTCACTGCGACGTCGTTATCGATCTCTTAACCGCGTGTTACAACAGAAAGCCCCGAAAAGCTCTAGTACACGGGTCGGTGGTAGTGTTTGTGCCAAAATTTGCAAAAAGTCGTCTTCTGCACTGTAGCGCACTTGGCAATGGCTGTTGTTCGTTCGGAAAAGAGCGTATGTGTCTCGTCATAAAAATCGTTTCGGACGTTCCTCATCGGTTTGCAGATTACCTCGCTATTTTAGTGCGGTAAGTGACATTTTTTATTGTTCACGAGATGAAATTAGTGTCGTTTTAAAATAAAAGAAGTGCTTGGAGTAGTGCTTTCCCAATTCGGACTGGCGGCTGAAGCTTGTCACTTTGTTATTTACATCCGCAATGCGAAATTGTAAACTTTACACCGATGAGTGGCGATAAAATTTTATCCGAAATGTCACACCGTTATCTCGGGGATGAGGCTAAATTGTATAATATATTGTGTCGCGATTTATGAGAAAAACATGAGAGTATAATAAATGACGCTTACTCCATCAATCAAAAACGTGTATTTAGATGAGCTACTCAATTAAATATGTAGAACATGGAATGCAACCCTACAGGTTGTTCCAAAATTACCCTTCCAGTTGGGATTTCTCATTAGTCTACCTACCTTTGATACTAAATTTAGACTGGGTTTCCTTTGTTTTCAGTAGTAGAGCAACAATCCTGGTGCCCATAACTGCCGGATAATATATTTTTGATCGCATTTTTTTTAGAGAAATCGGTCATGCACTAATTTCTAAAACTTTGATGTAGGTACAAATTACTAAAGTTAATAATAAAACAGTAATTTATTTATTGTTAATGAAAAATGTCCAATTTTTTTATAAATATATAAATCCAATAGTAACGTAAGGAAGTAAATAATTCAAATTTTTTATTAGTCATAGATATTTTATCACCTAATTAATTCTACATAATATAAACTTTAACCAAACGTATTTTGCCGCTATAGGTTAGTTTTAATTCTTGTTAGTCATTACTTATTGCAAGAAATAAGAAATATTTTTTATTTCACCACTGACACAAATTATACTACCAAAGTATGAACAATTTTTCAAAATAAAAAAACGACTTCATTTTAAATGATGTAAAAAAAATTTAATTTATGTAAAACGTCTTTAAATTTGACTATCTAGATCCAAGAACACAAAAAAATAATAAAATAAATACAGTTGTTTTAGTTTTAGAAACTAATATTCCAGTTATTAGTTTGATTATATCTGGAAAAGTAAGCAAGACTGGGAGGCAGACAGAAAATATTTTCAGAAAAATTTATTTCTTTTTACTAAGAAAACAAAACAATTAAAACGAGGAATAAATAATGATTTGCATAAAATGATTTTATTTATTTTTTCCACTTACGGCTATACTTGATTTTATTTATTTTTTCCATATAATTTTCTAAGATAACTTTTTTGACAAAAAATGTATTATTTTCACATGTTTGTTTTTATTTTTTTGTGGTGTTAATAATTTAAAAAAGTTCAATCTACCGATGGAAAAACTATATCTGCATAAATATTTTTTTTCATTGATAGAACTTGATATAGGATTGTTGGAGACAAAATACTTTGGTCGTCGCTTTTCTCACACTTTAATGTAATTCAAGCTTTAATGAATGACAATTTCAAATTAATAACAGCTATTACATCTTTCTATCAAAAATATGTACAACTTGTCAACTATGATTGACAGTAGCTAAAAATAAGGTTAACAGTCCTAAAGCATGCTTTACAATTTAATGTCACTCAAGTGACTTTGACGACCAAAGTATTTTGTCTCCAACTGTACATGACTGATATGATAGGATTTTTCAAATATCATAAAAACATTTTATTCAATCCTCTATGTTAAAATTGAATTTTATCTACTATTTTCTTCATGTTAAAATAAAATTTTATCGTCTAGATAAAAAATACATCCATTGTTGTATATCTGCGGTTGACATTAGATTTCATTATTGAGTTTTACTTTGACATTCATAAATATCGACCAAATTGACTACGAAATTAGTGAGGATTGAATAAAATTTTATATTGCACACGACGATAAAATTTTCATTATCTTTTCGAGCAAATTAGCGTCTTGGCTGACGCCTTGAGGCTCAATTGCTCTCAAAGATAAAATTCAATTTTATCATCTTGTATAATAAATAACTATTATTTAGTACTCAATGTTAAAGAGTGCTTTTATCAACTAATTTCAGTAGATAAAGTAGTCTTTTATCGTCTAGTGAAAAAAAGTAATTTTTATCTACTGAGTATATTCAAGAAATTCTGGTAGGTGAGTACAAAATAAAACGAAATATTATATTATTATTATAACATAAAATTGTCTAAAAACACAATACTGGCTAATTTTTAGTTATTTATTATACAAGACGATAAAAACTGTTTATCTACTCGTGAAAAAAGTCAACTCGTGACTTCGTCACTCGTAAACTTAACCTTTTCACTCGTAGATAAACTATTTCTTTATCGTCTTGTATAATAAATAACTAAAAATTAGCCAGTATTGTGTTTTTAGACAATTTTATGTTATAATAAAAGTTCACGAGTGACTACAATGTGTTTGTATTTCAATGCTTTAAAACATTCTATTGCTAAAAAACAATAATTATTTACCCTTTAAACATTCAGATATTATATTCGCATGTGTGATGAAAACACAAACCTGGAAACATTTGCTTAATTAGTTTACGAGTCTTTATAGTCGTCCTAAACCGTAACCCTTCATAAAACTATTTAAAAGGGTCTGAATTTGTTAACAGGTAGCAGACTGATAGAGGATCATTGGCAAAAGATAATTTATGCTTGCTAGTTTCTACAAGTTTGTAAATGAACCTAACTAACTTTGATAGAAAAAACGTACTTAATATACATAATATAGTAATTCTATGTGCAAAATAAAAGTTTTCAAAATAAATACACACTGTTATATTCATTTAAAATTTATTAGTCTCACAATTAAAAACATACCGGATGTATTCCATCAGAAAAACAATCAGATTAGATATGTGATACTTAAGACAAATGCCTCACATCAATAAGTGTAAATTAAATATTTTATTGTAAGAACTTTTTCATTGATAATTTTAAATTTCTATTTTTCATGTTATCCTACTATTCGCAATCAGAACAGTTATCTAATGATAGTATGTCCTCCACCTAATTTATTATTATTTTATTTCGATGTTTATTCAGTTATCAAATCAATATACCTCGATAACTGTTTATCAGATGAACAAATAACCCTTCAAATTATCTTCACTCTTATTTATGTAATTACAAATTTAGAAAAATCGTCAAAGAATGTAGCAATTAATCTGTCTCTTTAAATATTCAAAGACTATAAAACCTTTTTCCGTTTTGCCAACGCACTGAAATAATTTATCAGTCGCAGCCTTAAACATTTATAAGGCAAAACAGTACAGTTGGTATACATTCTGTATCTGTAGCGTTACTCAGAATTTTTTATTTGAAACAGTACTAAAAAATTTGTAATCTACGAATATCTAGGCGAACAAAAAGATTGAGATTTATTAACGTCATTAATTCTGATTTTACATCTTAGACCAAAAAGATATCAAGCATGAAATTTGATCCAACTTTAAATTAGATGTGGTTCACGTAAATGCGTCTACAAATTAGGGCTATTCACCGTTAATATTTATTTGTATTGGAATTATGTAATAGAAATATTTACGTATTGATGAAAGTGTTTTCAAAGTTTATTGTTTGTCAGCTTTCTTCATGGGCTAAATTCCGCTCCAACAATTAAGCCGATCCGCTTGTAAAACAGCAAAGATCGTCTTCTACCCCAACTGGAAAACTTAATTTACGTCTAGATAATCCGAAATAAATTTCCTTGCAACTGTGTATTTTACGTCCAAATACTTTAACGGCTGTGGAGATCAGTTTTAAGTAAACAAAAAGATGAAGGCAAAAAATTTATAGATATCTCTAGATCCGTATCCTTAGAAGACATCTCTTTGAGCATTTTATTCCTCCACTGATTTCATCACTTTGCAGCCTCTACTTTTCTTCATCGAAATCTTTCCTCTCGACAAATTCCTAAACTCAATTCTCACATATAAAGATAATCCCCGATAGGTTCAGTTTTTCGAGTTCATTTTTTAAATCAGATGTTGAGAATCTATTTAGGTTTATACTGGACATAAACCATCGACCCTTGAATGATATTAATAGAACACACATAACAAAATGAATTACATTTGGAATCATAAATCTTGTGCGACTAAGCATCGGGAAGGCAACCCTTAATCGCTTCAGTTGAATGATGGTCCGTATTCATGGCAAAAAGAGAACATCTCCAATAAAACCGCCCATTATTGAATCAATACTGAAATTCGTACGTAATATGCATTTCAAATTAATCGCTCTATTAGGCCACACTTGACGTACGAACGCCTACGCAATAAAATGCACCAAAGAGAATATTCCCAGGTTAGTTATCTCTTGGTGAATTAAATTATTTTTCGTACATAACGACCACCAACATCCTGCATTTAAGATTAGATTGATTCTGAGATTCAATTATCGCCGGATTTGAGCCACATATGAGTTTTCCTGCAAACAAGAATGTTAAGAAAATCTTAAAAGAGTAGCAAACGCTGCACAATAAATCGATAACTCAAGCACATCATTTTTAAGTGGTGTTTTTATATACATATAGAGCGTTAAATTTCTCAAATCTGCCCGTAAGGACATAAGCAGTGAAACTCGACACTTTTGAAATATCGACTCTAAAACGAAAATCTCGCTCGTAGAGAATTGTTTTATATTTATAGCGTTCCTATAAAAGTTTTTTTACGTAAAAATTAAACTACAAAGTCTTAAATAACACAAAAATTGTGATTTTATACCGAAAAACCTTACAGTTTTTAATTCATTGTATTGGTTTTTAATTTTTTGTAATGTTTTGAAACTCAGAAAAACGCAAAATTTTTTCATATTTCTTTCTAAAACATTTATTCTACTTTTATTATTATCATTAAAGATACGTTTCTCTAAATTTTAGACACTTTCCCTGTTTCTACAAAAGATGAATATTTTATGAAGAAGCTAAATACAAATTTTATGTTTAAAATCACCTAAATTTTGTGGCTCAAAAGATAAATGAGTTTGAAATGTTGTATTTTTTAGAGGCCCCAATTCACAATCCACTTGATTTTCATCAAAAATGTAAATGCATAGTGACTATCCGGAATTTTAATTTCTTTCTTGTTTAAAAACCTAAAGATATAGGAAGAAAATTTTAATAATAATCTGTAAAGTTTATATTAATTCGAAACTCCAGCGAAATTTTGTGTTTGCAAAATTAACATAAAAGGATAAAATTAACAGAGCTTAGAAATTTGTAACCAAAACCAGGGTGTTATATTGTAGAATGTTTTTTTGTATTATAACGCCTCATAAAGTTTTTTCCGGTTCGTTATTAGCGAATTTTACTCACTTCTCACCCTTATTCTGTTAAGCTTTAAAAATTTATAAAACACAAAAATGCATATATGGGTATAATGTTCTCCTCAGCTACTTGTTATTGAATTATCTACAGTCTTTTTATCATTTTATGTGTGATGGATATGCTTCCATTAAAGTAATAAAGTATCTAATATATTAAGGTAACAACATACGGCTTTAGCGTAGGTGGCTCAATAGAAGTATACAGTGTGTCCCTGGATAGGTGAAACGACTCTTACAAAAGATGAAAAACTCTCGATTTAAATTTTTAATTTTTAGGGTTTAATCTTGCTTGATTATAGACTAATTTCTAATATAATTTTAGTTTTGAAAAATTAAGTATGCCTTGAAAATTTCCAAAAAACCTATTTTTCTGTGGAGTAATGTGCCTTTTATATGGCAACTACGATAAAAAAGGGCCGTATACTAAATTTCAAAATCAAAATTATTAGTTCTAAATAAAGTTTTGACGTTTCTCTTAATAAAAAGCAATTATCTTATAAAAAAAAAATGAAAAATCATAGTTGGTCAATAATTTTGAAATTTGGTATAGGGGCCTAAAAGTTTATTCTAAACAACTTTTTTTGATAACTTTTTGCCGTATTTGCCACATAAAAGCCACTTAATTCTACAGAAAAATTTGTTTTTTTTTTAAATTTCCAAGACATACTTGATTTTTTAAAACTAAAATTATGTTTGAAATTAATCTTTAACCAAGGTGAACCCCAAAAATCAACTTTAAGCTCATTTCAATAAATTATATTAATATATTAATATTATTATTTTTATTTTTTATCATTACTAAGAATACCATTAAAATAATAACACTAGTTTACAAAAAATAACTTGTTTAATATACCTTTAACTAAATTATTATTTTTATGTTTATTTACCTTTAATCAAACAAAAATAACAGGTAAATTTTTTATCACCTTACATTTTTGTGTTACTACGAAATTTCAATAATTACAATAATTTTCTTGCTGCCGGCACGAATGCCTCTGATTTAAAATCCATTTAAAATCCAAGTTGTTGCTGAATTATTGGAAAATTATCCCCGGATAAAATACATTTCATTGACTCGCATTTGGACTTCTTTTCTAGAGAGTGACGAACACGGAGAGCGTTTTCATAAAGATCTAGGGTTTTCGAAGATCGGCACAAAGGTTTTTGAAAATAAAAATATATTAGAAGACTACAAAAAAATATAAAAAAAACAAAGTAAAATAACTCATTTTTAATTTGATGTTTGGCGGTTTTTGTATTTTTGTTAATTACATATTTCTAAAACGTGTTGTGGTGGAGTTTAAAATTTTTTTTTTCAATTCAGTGCTTCAAAAACTATAAGAATTTATAACTTTAAGCTAACATGAATTGTGTAAACTAGTGTAATTAATCTTGTTAGGTACCTACTGAGATATTTTGCAGTTTTTTTAAAAATTAAAGTCTTTTGTTAGATTCATATAATTTAATGTCAAGCTGCGCCACTTCTAGATTCATCACTTTATTACATTAGAAATAAGATGAAGACGAGTACATTTCGAGGTAGAAAGCGGAAGTCTCTTTAAACGTTAAATTGACATTACGTTTATTTCCAGCACAAAATAAAAACATGTCTTCAAAACTCTTGAGAATTATTACTAGAATACGTTTCTTTCCTGAAACGTTGTAAAAATTGTCTCAGATTAACTGAGAATTAACCTCGATTTTACTATATTATGATAGTTTTTGGTAGTTTTGTTATAAATTATTGCTCTGCTTTCAAAAGAATCAACAAAATCTAACTAACTTTATCTAAGATCATGTGACTTATATTTTACATCTAAATTTTATCCATCACCCCGTTAAATGCGTTTCGGACAGAAAAATAGGTTTTTCCATTTTCTGCAAAAACACAAATGGGTAGAAAATTGAAATCGCGATGTTTCCAACCCATGGATGGAATACAAAATATCTGAATCGATTTATTTTGTGTTATCACAATTTCCAGATGCTAAAAAGTGTTTTTACACTAGTTGAATGCAAGAAATTTAGTTTATTAAACAGCTCAAAACAACTGACTTATACACTATTTAAAATTTTTACTATAAGTAAAGTTTAAAAATTGGTGGATGCGCCGGGCGAATTTTTAACTGCATATTGAGTTTTTATTAATAATTTTATAGAAACTGTTTACTGTTTTGGTTAACATTTATGCTATTTATAAACAAAAACATGTACAAAAACCTATAAACATCAAAGAAAAAGACAAATATTATCTACTGTTAAAAAGTGTTTAAGCACCTGTTATTGGCCTTTATTTGGTAATTATAATTAAATCTCTTACAATTAATCTTTGTAAATACAGAATGCGCCAGAAAAATGCCATATAAGGTAAGATGTTAATGTTAAAAAAAAATATCTATTTTAAAAATTTCGAAGTTTTGAGGGTTTAAATTTTGCACTTTGACTCTATTTATTTGTGTTAGAAAAATAATTTTCCAATTTTTTTGTGCTACAGGCTCTTAAAAGAGGAAACAAGGAAGCTGTATCCTAAATTGTAACTCTGTTCAATGTTATTTGTGGCTTTTATTGGCTAAATTCTTGTACATTTACTAAATAATTGTAAAAAACATATACAAAATTATCAGTATCATTAAATAGACATAAAAAAATTATCAAATGTCAAAAAATAAATGTTAAATTTTTTTGACAGATAGAATTATTTTAAACATTTTTTCCATGTTCCTGGTATCTTATCTTACTTGAAAATTTTCTCTGGGGCGCGAGTTCTGGTGAAACTTAAAATTTTTTAAAAAAACAAATAGTATGTCGATGGAATTTTAAGTTGAAAATATAAAATAAAAAAATCTGATTTGTCGGAATATAATTCAAACGTTGTGCATTTGGTTTGAGTGGCGCGACGAAGTAAATTATTCAAAAGCTTTACCTTTGTTGAATTTTAATTTTTAGCGCCATTTTAGCAATCCTGTTTGATTCTAATGTCCTGTAGAGGCTTAGTTTTGATAAAACCGGCCAATCTCGAGTAAATTTATTCCGCGTTGACACTTTTGCCTCATCAAAACGCGACCGAGGACCTAATTTTTAGCTTTTACATACTAGCCAAACAGCGAAAAATACCCGAGTGCATTTAGCCTTTAATTTTGTTAACAATTCCGGGAAAATAGTTTCGCAGCCGCCGAGGAATTCCCGAAGCACAGGACAGGGTCGAAGGATCGGCCCACTATTAGATTATCATAACGAAATCACTGTTTAAGTTTGCTAAATGTTTGTGTTTGTTGCAGAGGGTGTGATGTGGTTGACTGGAGGGGGGTGCGCGGGGGGCAGCTAGCGGCGTGGGAGCCCCCCGGCCCCAGCATGACGCGCGCTAGAGAATGAAGAAGCAAAACGTTCGCACGCTATCTCTTATCGTTTGCACCTTCACGTACCTGCTGATCGGCGCTGCTGTCTTCGATGCTCTTGAATCTAAAACCGAAAATCAACGCAAAGTCGTCCTGCAAGGTAAAAGCAAATCGATCAAATGATTGTCAATGGATTTTACAAGTGGCTTTGACAAATCGAGCGGAAACATAATGTGGCAAAGACAAACGATGCCATGGACAAAAATGGGATTTGCATAGGACAATATTTCGAGATCTTGTGCTGACGCACCAGATAAAAATAACGTTGCCGCAGATTTAACGTTGCGTTAAATTTTATTAAGCCTTTAAACGTCCTTACTTGCATTTTTAAATTTACGTAAACAAGAATATATCTGCCAATTTTTATTTCATATTTTATGGCAAACTAATGTAACACTTTTTACTTTTCAGTAATTTCCTACTATCTATTTATTACAAAAAATTATGTACTCATACCTTTTTAACTCAACAAAAACGGTGGATGCGCCGGGATAAAAATTTTAATATACCATATAATAGATAAAATTTTAAATATATTTTGTGCTAATATTAATTTGAAATGTAAAAATTATTGAAACCGATAAATACCGAGTTATTTACTTGGTTTTTATCATTCTACAAGTATATGATAAAACACATAAATTAAAACTTATTGCGCACTCTTCAAAACCTTCTCGTGATACAATTTGTCTATTTCATAGAATTCACAAACGTGGATTTGTAATTTATGATAAACGTACATCATTTTCTGCGCCAAATGACATTGGCTTGTTTTTTATGGAAAAATAAGCAAACTGCAAATAAATTTTAAATCAATATAAAACAGCAAAAAATATAAGATTTTTTTTTAATTTAATAAATAAGACATACAAAGATGTGGCATAGTTTTCAGCTTCATCACAATAACATCTTTTATTTGTTAAGCTAACGAAGTGACATTTCTCTTTGTGCTTTTAACGTGCTCAAGATTATTTCAACATTTTAAAGTCTTTCCACCATTTGAATTGTTAGACGGCATTACTAAGTTCGCGATTAATATACTAATAGGAACTTAATTACATGAAACGAAAATAAAAGAAACGTTGAACTTGGTTAAAAAGCAATTTAAATACACGAGAATGAATAAAACGGTGTACCAAAATCTCATCGAGATAAAAATCTGTATTAGAACGGACAAGTGTTTTTCTACTTTATTATATTTATGTGACATTAATCCAATTTGAGGTAATTTAAAACTTTTCTGGGATCTTTTAAAAGTGTAATAAAATCGAGGCGTACCGTGCTTGACTTACACTTCATTCACGCTATTATAAATATAAACAAAATCAAGCTTCACAGAAAAGCTCTATTGGTATAGGCATATTTGCTTTACTTGAAATACGTTACCTCATTTCGTATGATTAAAGTTTTTGTATCCGAGATATGAATGCCCTTCAATTTACATCTAAGAGAAAAGTGTTATTTGACATTTAGTTGATTTTAAGTTTACTATAAAAAATTATATTGGTTTTTAATTTTATAGTTTAGGTACTTATACAACTTTACTCACACGTACAATGTGTGAAATTATATGCCAGTATAAATTCGGAAACTTATCGAGATCAATCTATCAAACTTGTCAGAAACCTCTTATCGCTGCTCCTATAATGACGATGTTAATGGTAATTGATAACTTATTAAGAAATTAGTTACGAAAATGTAAAATAAAATATACATAGCATAGACGAGTATTAAATATTTATTAATAATATTAATTCAATATTATAATATTAATTATTTATTATTACTATTATTATTATTAGTTAATTTAATTATTTAATTATACTAATTATGTTTTGTTTTCAAGACATGTATTTTATTAGTGTATTACCAAAAACAACGATTTTTACAAATAGGTATCCATAAAATTTAGATTTTTAGATTTTTTTGTGCGTAATTCGAAACAAAATTTGGATTTGTAGAAAACTTTTGTTAATTATTGCTAAAAAATAAATAATCTAAATAACCTAACTAAACATTCTAAACTATTTAAGTAAAATTTAAAAATATCACAATATCTACAATTTTTAGTCATAAGTTTTAAATCTGAGGTTTTTGAAGTACTTAACCAACATAATAATTTAATGCAGCTTTGACAATCCTTACGTAAAATAAACCGAAAAATCCAAATCCCATTTTGAAAAATATAGTCAAAATTTCGATATCTCAACAAAAGGAATGAAATTTTGAAGATCCGCATTTATAAAAAAACAGAAATAATCCTAAACAAACAGCAACAAATTCAAAGGTGATTTCTTAAATTATTCTTACAATATCCTGATTTTTGAAAAATTCCTTTATTTCAAAGATACAGAACGATGTTTTTCGGCAAAAACAATGTTGATATTTTTGAAAGTGATAATAATGAGGCCTAAATAAAACTATGTGGAACTACGAATACATTGGGCCCACTGCACAAAGATGTCCACAAATACAAAAATTTGTTTTTGTCAAGACTCTTATCATTAAAACAATTATGTTTGCACTCACACTAGCCTTTCAAAAAAATTACTTTAAGAGATGGATTTCAAAAACGAGAGTTTAGATTCATGCATCCTAGATAGTGGTAATCATTTTCAGCAGTAAATTAAGAAGCTTCACGAATCATAACATCACAAAATATTCTTCAAATAACCAAAGAAATCATCTTTTTAATTTTTTTCTCATATTCAAGAAACACTGCGTAAGTCTTGTATTTACCTTCCAGCCTACAATAAATTAGACATTTCAAAATGAATAAAAATTTTCGATTGCAGCTTAAATGCAATTCTAAAAATTATTGCTTTCTGAAACAATAAATCGTCTAATTTGTTTTATGTAAAATGTAGGGACTTGAGAGTTTATGAGGTTTTATAAACTAAATAAAACACCAATAAAAGTTTATAAAACAATAAAATGGAACATTTTGATATCACTGCGTTATTAAAGGATTTTGTTCCCTATTTGCGCATAACATATGGCTCCACTCATATGTTTGAGGCTTGAGATAGGTGTGTTCTTTGGTTATACAAAACTGGCTCAAGAACCGCGACACAAATTGTTCCCACCGAACATTCCCCTCTTTGCCGCGTTCAGTGAAACAAGGAGAATTGCGTTTTAATCAACGAGCCCTCTTTCCACCTCAATTATCACACCTGATGCATCCAACAAATAGGGGTGCGCATATTGTCACCTCTCTAAATTCTCATAGGTTTGGAAGCGCTTAATTAAACCGCCGTTTTATTTCAGAAATCCAAGCAATAGTTAGAAGAAAATACAACATAAGCGACGAAGATTTCAGGATAATGGAAACTGTCGTCTTGAAATCTGAGCCGCATAGAGCAGGCCAACAATGGAAATTCACTGGAGCCTTCTATTACGCGACTACTGTTCTAACGACGATAGGTTACGGCCATTCTACACCCAGCACCATTGCAGGGAAGTTGTTCACCATGTGTTACGCTATGATAGGAATACCGCTAGGGCTCGTCATGTTCCAGAGCATAGGCGAGAGAGTCAACAAGTTAAGCAGGTATTTAACATGGGTGTACAAGACAGGCAATGTAATATGTTAATGAGTGACATTTAATAAAATCTCACAAAAATTTACGGTTTTTACTGACTCATTTCTAGATAAATATGCTGAATTTTTTCAGAAGGGTAAATATTTAATTATATTTTATTGAATACCAAGTAATTTTAAATTTTAAAAAGCCTCATCTCTTTCGATGAGAACAATCTTTTAAACGGCAGCTCCTCAACTAATTATGTATCGATTGATTTAGGGTTACATTCTGCAGACCGTTATATGATTACAAATTGTGCAGAAGACTGCATTTGAAGGTCCTTGTACATATTTGAACTAACCGCACTTTAAACTATTTGCCCTTAATATCGCGTCTGATATAAGTCCGTTCAAATTACCTCTAATTCTATTTATAATATCTCTTATATGCTAAATAAATTAATATTGTATGTTCAAGTAAATCTGAGGTCGAACTCGACTTTAAGACTTTAAATTGTTTGAGAATAAATAACAGTTGGGTGGGTCTTCTGTCTTTGAAAAATCAAGCATAGACTTGAATTTTATTTTTCAGGGTCGACATTAAAACTGTATTTAGGTTTGTTATTAGAGAAAAAAATTCTTAAAAGTCCCCGGTCTTCCAAGATGAATTAACCTCAAGGGGCACCAAACAGGTTCCTCTTTTCGCTAATATCCAAAGAACGGTACGTGTTGCAAAAAATATGGCTTTGTACAAAATTAAAGCTTATAATATTTTCTACAAGATGGTCTTTTTAGATTTTTTGTATATCAAATGGTTTTCGAGATATTCACTAGCAAATATCACACTCTCTGAAAAAACTAATAATAATGAATTAACGTAAAGATTGTTGTAGAATTTGTAAGCCTTGTCATTGGACAGTTTAAGGTCGGCCATTATAATAATGTAAAAACCAATCACTTTAGATTTTTGGATTCATTCAAAAATTTTATACAATGATGTAATTGGTCCATTTGAGGTCGGCCATTATTGTAATGTGAGTAACCATGGAGAAACCAATCACATTAGACTTTAGATTAATTGAAAAATCTAGGGAAATTGGTTCATTCATTAATTAAAATTCCAATTTTTAATGAAAATGTTATGTGCGTGCCCTTTATGCGCTCTTCGCTCTCTATTGTGAGTATTATACATAGACAAACTATTAATTACCTATTATTTAATTTGTCCATGGGGAGTATTTTATGACGAAAAATTTGCGTCTTACGTTTGGAGGTACTTGTTTGAAACAGAAATAGGAATGTTAGTGTTTTCCTATCCCGTGTGCTTACAAACACAAACATACATTGACAACGAAGATACGGAAGTACAAATTTTCTTCTGAACATCCTCGTGTGTAAGAAATGAATCATAACCTCATTTTCACTTTTTCACCGGGGAGAACCGTGGACTTTTAGTAGGTATGTTTACTTTTAAATTAGTCCAAGCACTGCCCTGAAGTCAAAAATTTTGTTCCCGGTCATAGATTCTACAACCTGTTTTTGAGCGTTCGAAGTGGACTAAGTTATAGCCTTACATAAATGTTATTTTACTAAAAAAAATATATAATTTACTGATGGTTTTTGTATTTAAACGATTAATTCTTTATAGTATGATGTATCCTTGATATAAGTTTTATACAGGGTGTTTGTGGATTGCGAGCAAATATTTTAACCACTAAGAGAATTTGTTATGAAAAGTCGAATTGAAGACCAAACAAATTCCGTATCCAAATTTTATTTTTGCAATTTCCCCCTATGATTTTCACGAGCCGTTCAGTGTGTCTGTCCTTGTTAGTTGGAAGTAAAAATAGCAATGAAAATAAATTGCACTGAATGTTGACCGTGAAAGTTTTTATACTTACAGAAAAAAGGAAACTTTTTGTCCAAAAAAATTATCACTTGTTTACACGTGTCAGTTTAGTTAGTCGTTAATGCCCTTTCTTGTGAATTGTGCACATCGATTTGAAATCAAATTGTCAATCAAGTCATTATGGTCAACTACTCAAACGCCAAATTAACTAGTGTACCGACATCACTTCCAAGACCGATTTTCACTAAATGTTTGGGCAGCATCATTGAAGATCACCAAATTGGACCCCTCATATTACCTCAACGTTTAATTAGTGCCGTTTATCTGAATTTTTCGGAAAATGTGTTGTCCGATCCGGTGGAGGACGTGCCCTTGGCGATACATGCGGTATTTACAAGTGGAGCTCTATCAGATTATGCCAAAGTCGTCACCAATGGATTGAACAATTTTCACTAAAGATGGATTGATCGCCATTGACCACCGCGGTCACCAGATTTAAATACGTATGTTTTTTTGGGGGTTCACATGAAACAATTAGTGAATTAGTGTACGCAGCTCAAATTTATACCTTCGAAGGGCTGTGTGTGCGAAGACAAGCTTCCCTAGCCCGAAGAGTACAGAAGTGTGCATTGCCAACGAATGACCACATTTCGAGCAATTTTTTATATAACACTAACATTAACACTGATCTACCCTAATGTAGCGATATTTTTTGTCTTTACGCTGTTTACGTTCCAAAGTTTTTTCTTATGAATGATAGTAAATTTATTTTTAATTTTATCTCAGAAATGACGTGTTTTCGACAAAAGTTGGAATAACGAAAGCTGTTTCTTTTGACGAGTCATATTAGTGGTTAAAATATTTGCTCGCAATCCTCAAATACCCAGTATTTATTTGCCTGTTTTATTGCAGTTTAAATGTTAAAACTGCAAGCCTGATTTAACACTCGAAGAATAATTATTTCAAATTTAGTTTTGGTACATCTTTTGTCATTTAATAATTGTCACTATTTACCTGGCGCATCCACCAAAATCTTACTCATTCCAGTGTGATAATTCGGTCCGTGAAGTCTTCCTTGCACTGCCGGCAAACAGCAGCATCCGAACTGGACCTCATCTGTGTAGTAACGACGTTAAGTTCGTTGACGATAGCTGGTGGTGCTGCCGCCTTCTCGCGTTACGAGGGTTGGAGCTACTTCGACTCCGTTTATTATTGCTTCATCACACTCACTACTATAGGATTCGGTGACATGGTAAGTCCATTAATTTACTTGACGCAAAAACTTGACACATTTTCTTTAACTCCTAACTTGAATCAATCGATACTTCTCAGCGTAAATTCCCTAAACTTGATTCAAATAATTCAAACGAAACTACGAATTTAACGTAATGTTTGTGTGCTTTCTGTCTAGAAACTTAACAATCAGTTTTGTACCCAAAGAAGACGAACCTCAATTTGATTATGTCTACAAAAATAATAAAACTACAGTAGAGCCTCCACCAGTAGAGTCTGGACCTCGCTAATCCGGACTTCCGGTTAAACCCAGCTCAAAAAAGACCATTGAAGACTGCTGTGATTAATTTATAGTATAATATTTAAGTTAATCTGATAAATGCATTAATTAAAGCATACTTTATAATTATAAACACCATTTAATCAGAATTATGAAAGTGAAAAATCCGAAAAACCGTAATTGCGAAGATGGCAACTTTTAATCAGCGAGGTGCTTGTTGTTAATTTTTGTCCAATTAATTCCATTTAAAAAAATGGGCTTTTTGTGTTAAATTTTATAAGTTGAAAGGGTTTCACTCCTTGCAATTAACAAGCGTAAGGCCTTTAATTATTTATCCTGTCCCGAAGTTCGTAGCAATAAATATCTAGGGCCGCTTATAATCTCGAGAAACAATTGTCGCTTCTGTAACAAGCAACCGCACCAACCGCACTTGACTCCCCACTTGAGAAACTGCATTTCAGGTAGCACTCCAAAAAGACAATGCTCTGAGTAAAAAACCGGAGTATGTTATGTTTGCACTCATCTTCATCCTGTTTGGCTTGGCCATTGTGGCAGCTTCACTGAACTTGCTCGTACTTCGCTTCGTCACGATGAACACGGAAGACGAGAGGCGAGACGAGGCGCAAGCCATGCAGGTCGGTATTAGTTTTTTTTGCGTTGAGGCAATAATCGAAGAGGACGTTTGCAGGCTCTGGCTGGTGCTGTGAGACTCGAAGGCGACGTCATCACGGCCAATGGCTCAATTTTGAGCGGACAAATGGGCCATCATTGTACAGAAACCACTTCCCTAGACGCTGATGATACCTCCGTGTGTTCTTGTCATTGTGGCTGTTTTACTTCTAATAGTAGGCACAGGTTCGAATGAGTTTTTGCTAGAGTCCCCAGGAAAGTCCGATTAAGGTTCTTGCTATAATATCTACACCAGTTACGTGATATGCTGCAGATTTTATTTCAAAAAGCCCATTTTATAACTTAGTTAACAAAACTTAACTTTGTTCAGGATATGAAAAACTTTCTCACAGCTATTTTTAACACCCTTACTGGAACGTAATCAATCCTATTAATTTAAAACTTTTTGTTAGAGTTTAATCTGATCATTTTTAAAGATTACCTATTTATAAACTTACACGAAATATGAAATGAACGCTGTTTTTACACGTGGGTCTAATAACAAATTTTAGTTTATAAAATAGCGTACTTCACATCTACAATTTTTGCAGATATCTCTGTTTTCAGAGTATTTCAAATTAATTCAAATAAATAATAATTTGTTCATTCTCACAAAAATAAGTTAATAAACAGTCCACTGTTTTTTAAGAAAGATTTTGCCACTTTGAAGTAGTGGATGTTTATATAAAAGAACAGTTTTTTTTAACCAAAAATACGTTTCAAATCACTTTATGGAAAAATGTAAGTAGGTTTACTAGTTTCCCATACTGCAATTTTTTGAGGCTATGTGGTTAAAATTGATTTTGTAAGTTTAGATAACTTTTGTCTCCATTTTCAAAACCTATACCAATGAAATGCTCACATGAGTTCTAAAAATCACTTAAAGCAAAATTTTACGTAAAATTTGCTATTTTGCAAATTATTTCATTTTAATGATTTAGAATAACAATAGTCTGGCAGATAAATAAATATTTTTGAATATTTTTCCAATACTAGTTAAAAATATTTGTAAAAAATTTGTTCTCTAAACATCAGTTATATACCTAATCTTAAAATACGTTCTCGTAGTTCATTTGAAAAAATTTTAAAAACAAGTTTAGAAATATTTGTGGTAGTACATATTAAAAAAAAAATGGTTGCTCATGTATACATACAGGGTGACCCAGGGGTGCGTGCGTATGCATACATACATATAAGGTTACAAGAAAAATGTTATTACAAAAAGTCTGGTATTAAATGAAAAAAAAATAAGAATTTAAAAACAACAAAATAAAAACACAAAAAAACAACGTGATTTACAAGCTTTTAAAAATTACATTTTCTATATATTTAAGATTTCTTCAATTTTATTTACAAAATGTTGTTTACGGCAACTAACACTTTTGTACGAGTAAGTAAATACCTAAATTAAGTATAAATATACCTAAATTAAAAGAATTGCCAAATAAAAACATATAGCTACAAGAAGAACATCTTTAAAAGTAGCAAACTGAAAATTTAAAATATTTATTTTTTATTATGAAGATTATAGTTTAAATTTAAAGTAAATTAAACATGTACATCCAAAAATAAATAAATTCATTTTCATCGGAGATTAATAACCCTTTTAGTATAACTGACAATCCACATCATTATTTTTAAACAGTTGTGGATTGTATCTCTACTCGATATCTTATTACGAATAATTTTCTTAAACCATTTACTTTTACCAGACTCGCTTAAAGTAGTTTAACCTTTTCAACCCATCTAAGTCTTTGGCGAATTTATAGACGGTTACCAACACTCTCTATTCCATTCATCCACCTACCTGTTCATTCTCGCCCCCTACGCGCTATAAAAGTAGGCGTAAAAACTGTTGAAATGACCATTTCCTTCACTAAATAGACGTGTCATTGATGAAAATTCTCGGTCCTCGACCTTTCCATTTAACGACATTACTTAAAATTCTCCGAAAACCTCCAAAGCGAATAAGCGACTAGAAAATTGATAAAGAAATAACTTCTTTTGATAATCCTTCATCCTTTAAACTGACTCAATTGATAAAGCTTTCGAGTAGATATAATAGGATATGTGATGGTTGAGTTTTGAGGAATTCTTAACGGACTCTCGGGGACTCTGTGTCGGATTTAAGTGGAAAATGTTTGAATGTGCCTTTCTAGGTTCACAGTACGAAGGTCTCCCACGCAAATCGGGCATTTGCTTCCCGTTCTGCCAATGCATGAGCTTCATCTTCCCCAAGGGAAAATATTGCCTCCACCGGCGATATACCCCAACCATAGGGCTTCGATATGATTTCCTGGGGCATAAGCCTACATGTTCAATGTGATACGTAAAAACTAGATAAAAGTAATCAATTCGAACGAAACGTTAGTGGTTTTAAATCATCGATTGTGTGTAAAGATGAGAATCGTCTCATTTTATGAAACAATAACCATATAATCGCACTAACTGAAATGTCTTATGAAACAAGTATGAAAGCACAAATCGATATTCTTATTTCTTAAGGATAATTTTTATAATTTATGTGTTTATATCAAAATCAGTAAATTATTTGGAAACGCAGTCTAGTCAATCGTTTGTATAAAAACTCGATGTGATTTCAATGTAAATTCCAATTTACAGTTTTCATCCCCGAGAAAATATCTGTTGTCTTTTTCAGTATTGTTCCATTATGTAGCTGAAGACTTTGATAATACACAAAGTTATTATACGGGTTGCAAAGTCACCCACGAAATTTGGGATCAAAGTAACGTAGTTGCCAAATTTTATCTCGTTTCTTATACACTTTTGAAATATTCCATTACTACTACTACTAATAATATCGAGTTATGTAAACCGCCAAATCTTTCATCATTTTGAAAACACTACGATTTTATCAAATGTAAAATGTCCACTTTCATATCTGACGGCGAATGCAACTTTTGACTGTTGATAAACGGAAATTAAATTACAGTTTGATATCATTTGCTTCGTCGAGAATTCTTACATCTGGTTCTATCAAACTTTCGTTAAACTTGGAGGGAACATTTAAAGTAGTTATTGTTGCAAATCTAAAAAGTAAGTACACAAATACAAAGTTTCTAACTAGTTTTCAAAAGTGTAAACAATAAAGTAAATGTTCTTCCGTTTTCTTGAAACAGTTGCTTCTATTACTTGCCAAAAACCGACACTAGATAAGTGGTGCTTCCTGAAACAATGCTATTTACCACACTAAGCTTAAGGGCCTCTGATACACCCTTAATAAATGTTAAAAATCTGCTCAAGTACCATTGCAGTATTGTTTGATTTGAAATACTCAGTATTAACATAAAAGCTCATCGCAAGATGAATCAGGAACCATTGAGCAGATTTTCAAAGTGCATTGTAAATAACCAGACTGCATTGTACATAATCCGAGTTCTAATTTAGTCATTTTTAAAACTTAGTCTTGATTTGAAATTGTAAGTAGACTTTTGATAAAAATTGTTTTAAAGAAAGAACATGTCTAATCGATAAATTTTCATGGTGGTTATGAACTTTAGGCCTAACATTAACATAACAATATTGCGTAGATTTTACACTTTTACCACAAAATGTTGGATATAATACATATAGATAGTAGTACATTTCTAAATTTTAATCAAAGTCATTTTTAAATAAAGAATTGTTCTTTCTGTTAAAACTTATGTAAGTATTGTATAATTTTTTGAGTCATAGTATGTAATTATACTTAAAAAATGTGTCAACCATTTGAAATGTTACCTATTAATTAAGCTTGTTTTTATTGAAAAATTGTAATTGCTGAACGGTTTAGATAGGTTCAAACTACGTACTGTAAATACCACATCCAAATGACGAAAAATAGGTTGTAAAGGTGTACGTATACATAGTCTTTCCACCAAAACCAGATCACTGTCGATAACCGTATTAATCATTTTTAAAATTTTATAGCCCGTAGGCTAACATTTCAACACTTCATACTGATGAAATAGATTTATGTAAAAATTGTCTATTTTTTTTAATGTCAGTGTATGCATGTTGACCAGATCGAATAGGTACCTCACAGAGACAGATAAAGTTTCATTTCCTTGTTTGATTATTTTTCGATTGCCAATGTGATGCTAAAAAAGATCGTTATAAAAGGACCATGTGTAAATAAACTTTTACTAAACCAAAAAATATTTCTAACGGATGACTACGAAAAAACAGAAATCGACAGACTGATGTCATATAATAATTACCTATAACGATTAAACATAAAACAAGTCACTTAATACAAATGAATTGAAATCTATCTAAACTTTTAATGAAACTATCTATACTGATAAAAATTGTAAATAATTTTTAATAAAGAAAAACTGATGACATGTATGCATTAAAACCACATGTGTACTGCCAAATATAAATTTGTTTTTATTAAAAAGTAAAAAAATTAACATTGTCTTCTTACCCTTTTCCCTAAAAAAGTGTAAATACATATCGAACATTTTACTAGTTTGTAGAGTATGGTAGGTACACGATAATCACGACATTGAATATGTTCAAACATATTTTATTTATTTATTTTATTCTATTTTACAATACAATCGAAGGATTCGGCAAAGCTGTTTCGATTGAACGGCTCCCCTCCTACGCACGAGGAACTCCCGGTGAAAAACACACAAACGTGACAGACGGTGTTTTTTTGGATCAAATTAAGAAAAATCTTGAGGAAATAAGAGAAATCATGGGGAAATTAGAAAAAATCGTAGGAAAATTAAAAAATCAAAGCAAAAAAGAAATCTGGTTCCTATTTTTTATTTATTTGTCTTTGCTAAAGCAAATGACTTCAAAGAAGGGTCAAAAAGCAGGTAAAGTCTAAGAATATCTGGTTGCAGCGTAGCGAGAAATTTAGGAACAAAATCGACATTTACTCAACGGTTACAGCGCGGAGTCCTTAGCAGAAAAGAATTAAGAAATCTTCACATTAGTAAGCAACCAACAAAGCCTTTGAGTAAAAGTTGTGATAACATTATCTTTATAATCACTGAAAAGTTTAATCGTAAATAATAATAGCCAATATTTGCTAGCTTGAGGACACAGTAATTAAAAAGAAAACGCTTGTATACTTTTATATAATTTATTATATAAACTCGTCTTAACATTTTAAACCATCCTTCTGATGAGTTCATTGATTTTGTCTTCCCTGTTCCCAAAATCACCTCCCTCAACATAATGGTTTGTCTTCTTGCGCCATCCACCAGTTGGTGTATTTAGCTAAAAAATACAAGTTATTGTTAAATGTACCTTTTTTAATAATAATCAAATGTTTCTTGCGTTTCCATGTCCTCAAGATGATAAAAACTAATCTTGGGAAGGATAAACAAGAAGTATTCTACCAATATTAATTTAACATATTACAAATCTATTTTGTAACACGCAGATCATATTGGCACAAATAACAAAAAAACCTACCTTGAAGGGCCACAAGAAGTTAGAGGCGTATTTAAACTTAGGTCCAACGGTAAAAATTTCATGGATCAAATCTTCCATACAGATGATTTCAGATTTACCCAATCTGTTTTCAATTATCTGATTACTGGTAATTGGAACGCGTTGGCCATTAACTTTGGCAAAACCTCTCTTGTAAATCAGTTCCCTGACTGATTTCAAATTGGGATAACCCCAAGTAATATAAGGCTCACAAATTCTCAACATATTAATAGTAGCCTTGTTGAGTTGCACAAAGACGCCATTATTGATTTGGAGCAAGCGGAAAAGTTGGAGAACCTTGCGTACCTTGGGAGCCACTTTGTTAATACTGAAAAATAAAATTACTTAAAGTTAACTTCCTTGAGTAATATAATTAAATGTCTTGTATCAAATTTTGTTGCAATTCAATTTATAAACTACAACACTTAATTGAAAACAAAAATGATGTAGGACAGCATGGAAAATGGCTTGCGTTAGTTCAACAAGCCATTATGAACATGTCCACATTAAATCTACTTAACTTACCCCTTGATACGGATTACAAAAGCCAACTTAGCTTCACCAGGGACGTAAAAGTTTCCCCTGGTTTTAGCTTGACGAATAAGCCTAATTTCATCACGTTCTTTAAGCCTATACTCCTTCACATATTGTTCGGCGCGTTTGAAGATTTCCTTACGTTTCTTAACCTGTTCAGACTTCTTCTTGATAACAGTTTGAAGTCGTTTGGCCCGGTACGCATCACGCCTCTTCCGGTGCTTCAAGACAGACTCAGGGACTGCAGGGAGTCCCTTCACTGTCTTCGTTTTCTTCTCAGCCCTAAAAAATTAAAATTGTCAATTTGACAAAACACATTGCGGGTAGTGTCAGATGTAAACATGCCGAGCTTTGAAATAAACAAAGTAACAATAAAAATATAAAGCGAATATTATTGAAACAGGTTGGAATATGTAAAATATGTGAAATTTCGTAACAAATTGATTATTATTTGCCCGATGATTGAAGAAAATAAGAAATTTATTAAACACTTACGTCGGCGCCATCACTATCTAGTGGAAAAGAAGGCTGGTTCAGGTTGATCAACCAAAATTTGGTGCGGCGATTCATGGCTGCCAACTAAAACTTAGAAATTATGTTTTAAATTTTAAAACACATTTCCCAAACAATGCAAACATTTTATTAAATACTTGATAATTAAATAAGACTACAACATTCCTCTCATAATTAATATCTACCGCTTTTAATTTTTCGTATTGACGGTTTATTGACAATTGACAGTACATCCCCACTACCTGTCATTTATCCACGTGCGTGTTTCAAATTTATTTACATCCATTTATTAATTTTATTATTTGTGCAAATGTTTTAAGATAGAAAAAATGTTGGAAGACGATGTATCGTTTACTATGCCGTTAGGTAATTATAGTAACTATCAAAATAAAATAAAAAAATGAGTAATAACATAACCTTACAATGCTAGTTATGATTAAATTTACTTTTCAGATTTCTCTAGAGATCAAGTTTTAGAACTTATAGAAAGAGTACAAAACGGTGAACAGGAACTTTCAAAAGAGGAACTTACAACTTTATTAAAAAATCAACACTCTCTTACATATTTTAAATATAATGTTGATGAGTATTGTAAATTACACAGTCTTGTCATTGCTAATCTATGTAACAGCGCCGAGTATTTGGCTTTTTTAAAAGATGATTACACTTTTCAAAAAGTGATGCGAGACAGGGACCAATTTAATATTAGTTTTCTACAAATAGTCGTCCCTACGTTAATAGATGTTTGCCTAAGGTTTAAGGAAAATGAAGTGTTTGAAGAGACTTCAAAGCTGCTCCAAAAGGTACGTAAACATTATTTTTACTTATATTTACTAAAAAGAAAATAGTGTTTTTTTAGCACGAGTGTGAAACAATTTGACTCTTATTTAACACAATTGTTTGCAAAAATAAAAACTCAAGAAAAACACAGTCTCTGTAAAACAGTATTGAAATTTCTTACAAATCTATATAACAAAAATGCCATTTGTCCTACAGGTTTCAAACTACTTTTCAATTCACTTGTCTATTCCCATAAAAATTTTAATACAGTATTTAAAATGTTACTACTTTTGATTGAAATTATTGGTTTTGACACCAGTACTGAATTTAATTTTAACAAGATAAAATATCATCTTGAAAACCCTTCATTGAATGATTCTTTGAATATTTTACGCGAACTTCTAGATGTTGTCTCTAAAACAAAATTCAATTTAGAATGTAATATTGGTGACGTTACATTCAATGATTTTATTAAAAACTTATTAAAATCAATCATGGCTTTAACAAAAGTTCCAAACACATATTGTTATCAGATTTTTACGATAGTTATAGAAATTAATCCATTGATAATCGAGTCACTTATAAACGAAATTCTTATCTACACAATGTTAAGTGACAACAGTCAGTGCAGAAAAGAATATGAGGAATTGATGATTAAAATATTTGAAGTATTTAGCAAATTACACCGAATTCAGAATCTAATATCAAAAATGATACCAACATTAAAATCAGGACTTGAAAACCGTAAATTAGATGAAGCCATTTACACATTTCGAGGAGAGTTGAATTTGAAATCAGATGAAAACATTTTATACAACATTGACTGCATTCTTCCCAAATCAGTTTTAAATTATTTCACTAACTGTATCATAAATTTGGCCAGTTGGCAAGTGATAAATTTGTTCAAAACGCTGTTATTTCACTTTAATAAGACTGTAGAAGAATTACCGGAAAAAACAGAAGGTATTTTTATATTAAATAAAAATTATGAGACTCAATTGTTATTTTAGAAACAATTTATACCGAAATTTTGAGTTGCTTTATTTGTTGGGTTTTAATGAGTGTGCGAATGGCGGAACACACCGTGGCCTCAACTACTGTCGTTAAATTCGTTGGGGGCTTGGAGGAGCTCAGAAACGTGTTAGGAAAGTTGGGTAGGACTTTATTGCAACGACCACATGTAAGTACAAAAAATGAGTAAAAATATGTAGGTATGAGTAGTAATTTATTTCAGAATCAAATTTTAATGAGGGCTTTTTTGAATATATCGTACTATTGGGCCGAAATTTACATGTCATTGGAGTACTATTCAGTCAAGCACGATTTTAATTTGATAAAAGTCATAAATTCGAATTTTTCGGCGTGTAATTTAACATATCTGCATTCGTATTTAACCGACAAAGAGTGGTGTTTAATTTCTGAAAGGATTAATAATTTCGGAGAAAAACCGTGTAAACAAATAATGGTTTGCTTTCTTCTTTTCTTGTTTTGTTTTTACATTTATTATTTGTAGCAGAGACTCATGATTCAGAAATTGCGAGCGATGTTAATGTCTCATGATAGTAACAGTGAGATAACGACGGCGATTATTCGGACATTGTCATCGGAGTTTGACGATAGTTCTGTTGAAATTTTCACGGATAGATTCGTGATCAATCATTTGCTTGACAAAATGCCTTCCACGATAATTGTGAATTTGTCAGAAATTATTTTACAAGATTTATTAGAGGGTACTGGAGAAATATTTAAACAACCACACATTTACGACTCTCGGCTTATAACAGAAGGCATTCTTTGTGTCATTTTTACAAAAATTAATAAATTACTCAAACAAAAGCGAAAACATGACGATGCAACTTTACGAAAAGCGCACTACTCAAAAATTCTATCTCTCTTACCCACGGACATGTTTTTGGCTCCTAATATTGGAGAATTTTTGGTTAAAGCCTCAGAGGTTGTCTCCGAAGGTGATGAACAAATCATAGATTTGAAATTACACAGTGATAAAATTCAGGCATATTTAGACGCGTTTAGAAGGCTCCCAGTACTTTTTGCAAGTGAGGATACACAAAAATTTATAATCCTACTGTTATTCTCGTTGCTCAAAGATATAAATCACAGTAATTGCGAGGAAGAAATAAAGAACGGTTGTGAAAGTCTCATCATTAGCATTATACAACATAATAAGTTTACTTTATTGGATATTTTTGAAGCGAATATCCTTGTAAAACTCCTAATTGAGAATGTTGTTAAAAGTGAAGATCTGTTCACCCACATCGTCCAAAGTGCATTTAAATGTGATTCGGCGATTGCTAAATTTGAATCAGGAATTGCATTTATTAAAGGCAATCTTAAATCAAAACAATGTCTGCGATTTGCAGTAAATGTACTGCTTGTGCTTCACAAAATGAAAAAAATTAAAGTATCTCCAGAGTCCAAGGAATTATGTTTGAAATATAAAACGGATATTTGTCATAAAATCGCTAAATTGGTGTTGAAGAAAAGTCCAGAGGATGGTTTGATTGAACCGTTTGCTATAGTTTTGAAATCGTTCTTGGCCAAAGACGAAGATGATAATCTTTCCAAATTAAAAATTTCGTTAAGCGATTATGTGGAGTATTGTCTTGAGAATTTGTCTGATGAGAATATCAAAGGCAGTTTATTACTGTTTTCGACAATATTGTTCAATAAATCCTTGTTAAACAATCTCGATGATGCTTTTATTTTGCGAATTTACAATAGTTTGAAACGTGTAACTGTAAAGACTGAGATGTTGGAGGAATATTCGCAGTTAATGATTCTCATCACGTCATTAATTCCAAATGAACAGTTTTCGAAAATTTTTGACGATTTGCTGAAAGTGACGGTAAGTAGAGTGTGATTTTTTGCTCACAATAATGGTATGTGGTTGCAGACGAAATCAATCGATTTGAGAGAAAATAAAGAGTTCTGCAAACACCTAAAAACCTGGTCTTGCATCCTGTCTACAAATTTCAATCCCGTCAAAACTAACATTTTGCGTGAACAACTCGAATTTCTCTTGGAAAAATTAATTCTCATGTTGAAATCTGTTGATTATAGCGAAGAATTATTTGAAGAAGTTATCCAATTTGAGCTTTCAATTGTTCAAGCAAATCACGTAATGTTTTCTTGACATGAAACACCAAATGGCGAGGATTTATTGTTCGAATTTTAGGTGCCATTAAGTGCTGCCATTATAGATTTTTCCCTGTTAACAGTTTCAATTTTAATGATGAAGAAAGATCACGACTTTATACATTGTTTTAACTGTGGCATAACTTTGTTGGAAAATTTGTTAAAATCCCGAAATCCGTTAATTATGGATCGTTTGCCTCCGTATTTGTTGCAGTATAGAGTACTGTTAAAAGGTTTGTGTTTGAAAAGTAGTTCAAAAGCGATAGCAGAATCAAGCGACGGGCAGAAGATTGCTGATTGTGCACATAAATTAGAAAAATTGACAAAGAGTCTTGCTGATTGTACCAAAGATATGGCAAGGATTGCAATGTATTTGATTGCAGATATTTTGGCACAGTATGAAATGGACACGCTGTACCCTAACGTGAAGGTAAATTTAACTGGTTTTATTGAAAATCATTTCAACTTTTTCTTGTAGAAACATTTGGATAATTGTATATACAGCCTAATTGCTTTGTGTGATCATCATGCAGTTCAGTATTTGATGAGAGTTTTAAGCAACGCGTCTACTGAAATATTTAAAATTATGTATGAGAATTATAAAACATATTATAGGTTTACAGGTAAGGTGTAAAATATGTTTATAATAAAGATCACTTTTTCGATTTTTTTTATTGACATTTGTCTTTGAAATATTACAAATTTATACAAACAAATTAAAATTGTATTGGCATTTTTTATTTATTTTACTCAAACCCTGACGTTTGTGATAATAAACGTTAAAAAAATCCACACGAAATTTTTCGGTCAATCACCAAATCCTAATCCTAAATCTTTTTTTTGTATACGCTCCCTAAAACAGCTGTTTTTGAATCTCCAAAATGAGTCTTTTACGGACTCATTAAAATAATACGTAAAATAGTTATTTTAGGTGCTCAGTTCCCAAAAACAGTTTTTCCCGACTAAAAAATAAAATTAGTTACTATGGTGGCGAATTTTTTAAAATTAATTAGAGGTGTAAATTCGTGTTTTGGAAGCTTTAAGAAAAAAATGTTGTTTGTAACACGTACCCAAAACGTTTCTGCGGACTCATCTGCTATTCCAAACTCGGTTTCACCTCGTCCGGATACAGCAACGATTTGTCCGCAAAAACTGTGTTTTAGGTACCTGTAACAAAAATAACTATTGTAACAAGCACCTAAAACATTTTTGCGTACTCATCTGTTAAAACAGCAGAAACAGCAACGATTAGTGTGCAAAAACTGTATTTTAGGCACGTAACAAAAATAACTACGTTTTTTCTATCTAAGAAGAACATTTGCTTACAGCTTGTTTTTAAAATTTATAAAAGCTTTGGGAGTGGTTATAGTACTACGAATATTGCACAATTACTTTGCTTAGTTGACCACCCTTAAAGCTTTTATAAATTTTAAAAACTTAATAAGCTGTAAACAAAGATCTTCTTCTCTGATAGAAAATTTTTTTTTTACTTTTTGGTACATTTTTTTAATAAAAGTTTATTTTTAAAAAACAATTTTGTGTTTTTTTTTCACTTTTTAGTCTTTACTTATTGTTTTGTGGAATATGTAGGTACTTTAAACAATTGGTAAAAATCGATCGCACCGTTTGGCCGCAAAGACCAAAAATCGGCCGTAAAGCGGCCGCAAAATTATACGGTTGAATTCATGATGGGGATAAAAATTGTTTAGAATCATGAAATATATGTTGTTAAACATTGTTTAGAATCATGAAATATACGTTATTAAACAGAAAAATGTGATAAAATAAAAATAATAATGGGTGCCAAACTAAAAAAAAAAAAATGCACTCTAGACTCGAACCCGGGACAACTGTCAGTGCAGGTGGCACTGACGCAAACGTTAGGTTTGCTACTCGGATTTCCAACACTAAATTATTGTCGTAAGAATGTTTTCCAGATAAGTGGGATAAGGAAAGTCGTGTGATGTTCACACCAGATTTTTTCAAATAGTTAATGTTGTCAACCCCTAATATCTTCGTTCCTGTAAAAGATAAAGGGTTGGTTTTACCCTTAAAAACACCAACACTAACCTTTTGAATTTTTTCTGCTTCATTAAATGGGGTTGGTTCCATCTTTGTATTATTTCAATTAGGGGCCAAGATACTGGTTAATTGTTGATAAATTTGTAATTAAAGTAAATATTATTGTATTATTGCCACAGGAATTATGCAAAATTTCACACAGGAGCTGTCTCAAATTTGACTCAAAATTTCCTGCAAACAGATTTTTTTTTATTATTTATTTATACTTATGAGCTGGGTATGCTTTTTGCTGAATAGGGTACCCAAATGCAAGAAGTATATAAATTTTTTAGAATATTACCTTAAAACTGATAATCTAGGTATCTTAATATTTTATATAAATCATATTTTTTAAATAAACAATAAATTTTGTGTTTTAGAAATTTGCCTTCTTTTCAGTCAGTAAATAAATTTATTTTAGAACACATTCCACATGGTTAATCATAATCATAAATTTTTTTAAAGAATGTGTCATAATTTAACATCAACAAAAAGAGAATATGCGTACATAGACTTATTTAGCAAATGTTACCTTGAAGTAATAAAGTCTCAATTAACAAATATTTTTTCTTTACCTCTGTAATTATTACTCATTAAACATGTATACCAAATCAGAAATTTTTATGGGTAGGTATTGGTTTGAAACTATAATAAATAAATAAATAATAAGGCAAGTAGATTTCAATACATTATTGCTACATAAATTGTCCATATAAAAGTATAGACACATGATGCACATAATAGAGCGCATTTCAACATAAATCATGCTTAGAAAACAGAAACAAAATACTAAGCAGAATTACCTAGTATGTAATTAGTTTATTAGTCTACCTATCTATATTTTTATATAGTATTTTGCTTTAAGTAGTAAGTTTTAGATTTCATGCAAAGTTCTCACTTTGTTAATAGCCTTTGTAAACAATTTAAATTATTGAACAGCTTTTACGTGACTCGAAATGAGACGAGATACCGGAAATTCAACAATGCGAAACATTTACTTAGTGGAACTATTCTAGCTTTACTGGCATTTACTACGCTTTTTTGTTAAAATTAAAATATCTGTTTATATCTTCTGTAATTAGAAAAACAGCATGTCATTAATACCTAGTACACATTATTATTAGGTAATTACTGTAATTCCATGAGTATTATACCTAGGTATTATTAGGTAAAATTTATTATCAGTTGAGAGTTAAATAATTTACGCATTTGGTATGTGTATATTGTTGGCACAATACATTTATTTAATAAAGAAATAAACAAATTTAAGATGTGTAAAGTGAGTATTACGAGTAGATACAACTAGGAAAGAAATTTGTCTATAGCTGCGTAGGTATGTAGGTGTGGTATAACAAAGTCCCGAAACTTAAAAACGGATGTAACATTTCGATGGTATCACTCAGCACTTCCCGCTTGGTATTTCATTCGTATAAATAATTTTGCAATACAGAGCGACAAAAAATTAAGGGAAACACAGTTAATGAAAGTTTCTATGAGCTATGAAGTCTATATTACTCATATTGTAATGTTATTGGTCTTAATATTATTAATAGGAAATTATATCAATAAAAAACGTATGATGAAACGTTTGTAGAAGTCATAGTGTACCGAACACGCGTAGGTACCCATACATTTTTTGTATTTTATAAAGTCAATAAAATCAATATGTGGCATAAGAAGAATAATAAAAGTTTGCATTGTCAAACTTCATAATCATAAATATAAAGTTTTTTTTTTCTTTTTATTTATTTTTATCTTTATTTTCTCAATATTTTTGCGTTAAATTATATACCTATATTCAAAAAAATACTGTGAGTATTACAGGTACATGTTCGTTTTTTCTGCACTACCAACACAGCTTCAAAAATTCATTGTCAGAATTTTTTTACAAAATTCAAATTTTTTTGCGTGTTTACATGGCGTCAATATTTGTTCACAACAAACATTAACAATAATACAACTGTTGTACAGCAGAATAAAGTAATTTCAATGTATAAAAATTGTTATGTCGAATTTTAAATTTTACATTTTATAAAATATTACAATAAAATAAAAATTTGGTATTGGCACAATTCTGCACATGCAAAATTTATTCTCTATTGTAGCCGTTAAGCTGTTAAATATGTTTTGTGGCTTGTATAAATATATTTCGTTAATTTATTTTTTTTTAATTATGAATCAAAATGATGGTTATTATATTATTTCTTGTCTTAATGTACACTGAGATAACAAAAGAATGTGAGGAGGCCAAGGGTTATTATAAAAGAAGGATATGGAAATTTTAAATAAAGCAAAATGAAAAATTTCGCCTTGGATGATTTTGATATCCAAACATTCATAAAATTACTCATTTTATACAAATTATACATCTCTATTTTTATCTCCAACATACGAGTATTGGTTAATTAATTAATTAACGAAAACAATAATTAAAAATGCCCACTAAGAAAACGTGATTTTTTTTCTGTCAATATGTATAAATTTGTTTTGGTCTTACAATGTACGAAATGTTTGCTGAAATCGTGCGGAAAAACACGTTATAAATTTTTCCAAATTGATATCATCCTATGTTAAAACTGAAAATGATAACGTAATTTGTGAATGATCCATGAATCATGGTGACCCCCAAACAACACGTGATGTTTTTAAACATTCTAGAATTTTAATCTAGTGCAATGGAGTGAGGTCAATTTATGCAATAAGTGTTTGAATAAAGCTTCGTAGGTACATTTTTTATACGCGCGCTTTTGCGATCCTAGAGGTACAGCCAACCCTGCAGAAACGGCACTTGACCAAATCCAGCAATTTAATTAGCTCATTAATCCTCGATTAGGCTAAGTATGAGTCACATTTTTACGTGGCATTTCCGAAGAAATCGTTCGATGTATTTAGAAATGACAAGATAGTCGCCTCTCACCTCCCTCTTTGACCGCCGAAAACGTTGAATTCAACGCGCAAACGTGGAACATTTATAGAACGTCTTCTCCAACGTTGACGTAGTCAGTTTGAATTGTTGACCTGTGTAGTGTTCAGGTGGAATTTTATAAATAAATTGCAACATGCCCATTGGTAAGTTTTGAGAAGTTGTAGCATTGTTTTTGCGCCCGATTGGAAAATTTTCGGGCCAACCGGAAGCCAACACCGGCGTTTCAATGCTCATAGTCACCGGCACTTTTTTCTTGCATTTTAACCAACTAAAATTGCACATAGTTGCAAATTTTTGTTTTTTTATTACTTTTTTTTCGCATTCATCCACAAATTTTTCCTCGGCCTTGTAAGCCGATAATAAGTCGCATTTTCATGTCCAAAACTCCGTAACACTTTCCGGTTAGACAATCAAGATAACATTTGGGAAATTACAAATGGCACTATTGCATGTCTGGTCCTTTTTACTATTGTTTTATTAGAATTTTGACACGCCCATCGTAGCGCGACCTCAAAGTTCACTTGACCATTACTGAACCACATAACACTACTATTTTTAGCATTGTTGTCACCGCTGCTGATTGTAATAAGACTTTTTTTACTCATATTTATCAGCCTGCCAACAAGGTTTTTATTTTAAAAAAGTTTCAATATATATTTTAGGATAGAGCTTTAAGTTATGCGAGATATGTATATTTTCACTTGTGTCTAAAAATAATGCAACAGGAACTTCTTAACACTCTATAGTGACCCTAGTGACCTACTTAATAACTGAAATATGCAAGGAGCTCAATTAGATTGGTTTTATTTTTAAAAATCTTAAAATTGGAAAATCAATATGTAAACCATAAAATTGTTTCAAATAAATATTGTTTACATATTCAATTAACACACGTCTGACATCTTTCAAGCTATGTATTGTAGGTTTGTTATTAAAAACAGAAAACCCTGGTTATGTATTGTAGGTTTGTTTTTAAAAACAGAAAACCCTGGTTATTGTGGAATAAATTTTAATAGACAAAATGTTTATGATGCCTAACATAAATCAGTCTGGCTTATCCAAATGGCAAATCCCAGAAAAACTGGACTTTAATTCCAGCTGAAATTGTGCGAGAAAATTACGTCACTAATTTGATTACAAGGTTGACTTGATTTATTTCAATTTAGCTCATTTTTATTACTTAGAACTTTAGATGAGAATTGAAATCATGAAACCCGCTTTTCTGAAATATTCAATACAAAACTCTCGATTTAGTTGAAATCTAATAATAGATTGAAGTTCATCGTCTTATAATACTTAGGAGTATAAGGAAAAAATGATTTCTAAACACGATTTTTTTGAAACGTCAAAAGGTAATAAGTTTGAAGAGACTTAAACGTTGTCACGCACGTTTGAAATTCTTATAACATTTTCTTCTTGATTCTGGTTAATTTTCCAGATCGAGGGGAAATAAAGTAGGTTTTATAAATGACTAAAAACTAATAAGAAAATTAATTATACCCAAAAGTATGAATATGAAAGATTTTTGACAAAACTTAAAAAAAACGATTTTTACAAAGTATTTACAATTTTTGTTAATTTATTTTTAATAACTTAAGATTTAATATTTCATAATAAATAAATTAATATTATAGCACCCAATACCACAACATTTTTACTGTGACAAGTCACATTTTTTTCAAAAAAGATAATTTTAAAAATGTAACTTTAAAGCGTTTATCAGGTTATACCTATAGTATACAAATTGTGCCCACGCAAAATTTTTGAAGCGTTGCATACTTAATTGTGTTACCCACCTAGTTCTAGTAATGATCAACTTCCGCACAGATTTGAAACTTCTATTGTATGCAGGAAAAGTACAAAATTAAGTCAAATTTCACATCCTAGTTTGTTTTTTTTGCACCACATGCATATTTAATTATTTCTAATAATACATATTTTAGATTTGTACGACTTTTTTCTTTATTCCATGTTTCGTAGATAAGCGTGGGAAGTCAGTTGAGAGCCCCTTAATTATCCTTTAATTGAAACAAGGACATTTCCTCCCTTTTGTTGGCAAAGCTGGTGGTTCCTGCGCCACACACCTGCTTGCAGGTGCAATTTGTAAATTACGGTGGAGTGAATACTAATCGCGTGACGTGTCATTAATGATGTTCCAAACACTAAATCTGTCGGTGATGTAATATCTTGTCAGAGATTAAAAATCAATGATGACCTTCCTTTTATGGCGCCAGACATAGTGGAAGCGGAGGAAAAATACGTGTAAAATTTGTAACAGTAGGAGTAAAAACCAATATCGAGCGTGACACAGTTTCAGTGCAGTAACTTTACTGCATTTGATCAAAGTTTCAAAGAAAAGAAATTTATGAAAGCAGTAAAAAATTCCTTGGAAAATCGTCAGCGATGCCGTGATAAAAATAAAAATTGTCGAGTGGAAACATTCAGCCTTACATAACTGACAAAAAGAAATTTTATAAGATCTTATCATGGTGACCGAAAATCTAGTCTTGAGAAAACCGAATCGTAAAAAGTAAAAAGCTATTTGAGTATGTTTACCTACATTCTATTATTACAAACGCTAAACACGAATGAGAAAACAATTCAAGGCGTGATGTTACCTTGGCATAAAATGATGCTATATTGAAAAAATTTTCATTCTAATTTACACAACTCAAGACTGTCTTGCATTTTTTTAATTTGTACAAATATCACACTGGGAACAGTATTGGAAACCTCCACAGTTTTAAAATTTGACTAATTTGTTTTATTTTAATTTCCAGAATTGCAAACCGAGGACCGCCTCGAATACACCTTCTTCCCTAACGCCTCCGGCCTCCTCCAATTCCGCGTTCGCGCCCCCAACGATGCCCACATCGCCCTCAGCCCCTCCGCCTCCGAGGCCACCCCCATGTACGAAGTCTTCATCGGCGGCTGGGGCAACTCCAAATCCATAATCCGTAAGAACCGCAGCAAACCCGACGTCGCCGAGGCCAGCACTCCCGGCTTCCTCAACCCCGACGAGTTCCGCGGCTTCTGGATCCGCTGGGATAACGGCCACATCTCCGTAGGTCACGAGGGCAACGCCGCCCCCTTCCTCGAATGGCGCGACTATGAGCAAGTCCCCATCGAGTACATCGGCGTGTGCACGGGTTGGGGCGCCACCGGCTCCTGGATCATCGAGGAGGCGCGCGGCGGGGCCCCCTCAATGGGCGGTCGCGGAAACTTCTCCAATGTATGCTGGGTGGCCGCACGCAACGGCGAGGTGCCCCCAAGGGCTTTCGCCGGTGGTGAAGACAACGGCGAGCCAATTTATGTCGCGAGAGCTAACTTCAACGGGGGGCTTATTCCCGGCAAGCTGCTGGCAAGCCACGGCACAGCCTACGTCCCCTGGGGCGGGCAAGAGAACGGCGTCGCCGAGTACGAGGTGCTGTGCGACTTCCCCGGGAACTGGGTCGCCTGCAGCGGGGCAAATATCCCACCGAATGCGGTTACTGCGGGACAGAGCGAAGACGGGGAGCCATTGTATGTGGGCAGGGTGGTCCATGATGGGTCGCTCACGGTCGGAAAGGTGCAACCCAGTCACGGGGTGGTTTATATTGCGTATGGTGGGACCGAATTAGGGTTCCAGGATTACGAAATTTTGGTACAATAAAAGGACTGATGGATGTGTTTGTTAATCGCTTTAAAGTTTTGCTGCCTAGGAATTCGATCCAGCATAAATAAAATGTTATTTACGTTTATATAACGCTAGACTGCACCGTTGTGGCTTCTAGGTGCCTTATAATTATGTGTACCGATAGGAACTGTATTATTTTTGTATAATGGAAACGGTCTCGAAATTTATTATTTCGTAAAAGTGGCTGATTTGGTTAGTGCCACTTTAATATAATTTTTTAAGTCTATAATGTAATAAAAAGAATAAAATTTCTATTTATCATCTGTTGTGGTTTTATTGGTTTTATTTATTCACATACCCACATAAACGTTCTTGAAGTTCTATCAATCTGACCTCAACTTAATTAATTTATGCACAAATATCATCTTTAATTTTAGAAAGGTCATTGATATATTTTTTAAATGACTGCTTCCAAAATATTTTTTAACACCACCCACACATTTTATCGTTTTTTAATATGAGATAAGTAATTAAGCTAGCACGAAACTGTTATTCTGTTGCCACATTTACTTTAATTCAATTTTATATTAAATTCATAAATTTATGATCTATTAATTTATATTTAATTTATATTTATATAATAAATTTATGATTTATTAATTCATAAATTAATAGGGGATAATTTACTGGGACAGTAAAATTTATTGATATACGTAGTAAATTAAGATGTAAAATATATAAAAGTGAAGCAAAGCAAGAAAAAAACTGTGAGTTGTATAATAAGTGAGTTTTTATGAAATGTTTTCTCCCTAAACTTATTTTTTGTTATAAAGACAGACTTTTCAAACGATATGATAAAGTCCTACACCAAAATTTTTAGCTCGGCTATTTTGCATTTTTTTGAAAAAGGTCAATTTTACATTTAAAAAAAGCACTTTTTGGCATACCTATATTTTTTTGTTACCTATGCTTTTTAGTGCCTTTTTTGAAATGTAAAGTTGACCTGTTTGAACATTTTTCGCAAGAATGCAGAAGAACGGAACCATGAATTTTCTGCAGGACTGCATACATCATTCTGTCTATACTTAATTTGTTAATATACGACTCGTATATTTCCTTATTTGTGAAAAAAAAAAATTAAACTACATACGAGTTTTAACCAAAATGTATTTTTATGATGTATTATTTTGAGTGTCGTAAAAAGCAATTATAAATCAATCTATACGATTAATTCAACGATACATAGTTGTGTTAGACAATTACACTTTAATGTATTTATAAATTGAATGTATTACATACGTATACAGAATTTTTCAAATGTAATCAAAAACTTCCTGTTAATAAGAATAGGATGTAAAACAAGAAATTTATTTAGTTTAGATACGAACATCAAATTAAAAATTTGGTGGAGGCGCCGGTTTGATTTTTCCCACTTTTATTGTCTACAAATAATATTTGTATTTTGCATGACGTTTTTGGTTTTAGTTATTAATCAATGACCGTTATTGTTAATTTCAAACCACAAATTGTGCCACCCACACGTGATTAGAATTATTTAATCTTGGTTTTATCAACAGACTTTGTTTACATTATGTTTGCGGTTTGTACCCCAGGAAACTTATTCTTTGTTGGGACAGGAAGTACACAATTAGTTAATCTTAATTCCCTTATGTGGTTTACATTTCTTTAGCAATAATGATTATTAAAATTTAGTTTAACGCAATCTGTTTAGTAAACCGGTTGTGTTAAAAGCGAAAAAACGGTGACAAAGTTTTAAACCAAAATGAGTGATAACTTGGAAGTGGAAGTAATCTACTTCTATCCAACGGAAAATTCAAAATCTCATAAAACAGACAAGTTTGAATTAATATATGACGAAGAAAATCCAATTCCCATTTTCAGACGTGGAATTAAATTCACACTTGCGTTGAGATTCAAAAAAAACAAGTCGTTCGATCCACAAAGGGACCAGTTGCGTTTAATTTTTAATTTTGGTAAAGGTAAAAAAATAATTAAAATCAATGTTATTTTTTGTATTTTAGGACCTAAGCCAAACGTGATAAAGGGCACTCGTGGTTTGATAAAAATAACGAAAGAGAGAACCCCAATTAACGATTTCAAATTTTGGGGTGCAAATATCTTGGACTCTTCTTCCGACTTGATTTTAGAAGTTTGGGCCCCTACTAGTGCTCCGGTCGGCGTATGGGGACTTCAAGTTGAATCTAGTATTGCAAATGCAACAACTCCACCAACTGTCTATAACCACGAAAGTGATTTTTATATTTTATTCAATCCCTGGAATTGTCGTGAGTATTTGTTAGATAAAGAATGTGAATTTTTAAGTGAAAATTTTCAGACGACCTCGTCTACATGCCAGAAGAACGGCTCCTTGATGAGTACGTCTTGACCGACGTTGGTAAAATATGGGTGGGTCCATATGGGTCCAGCCGTGGTCGCGAATGGGTTTTTGGCCAGTTTGACGCTTGTGTCCTCCCTGCAGCCATGCTAATGTTTGAAAAATCCGACTTACCTCCAGCTAGCCGCGGAGATCCAATCAAAGTCAGTAGAATGATCTCAAAACTGGTCAATAGTAACGATGATGATGGGGTTTTGGTCGGTCGTTGGGACGGAGAGTACGACGATGGGACAGCACCATCTGCTTGGACAGGATCCGTCCAGATTTTGCAAGAATTTCTAGACACACAATCCCCTGTGAACTATGGGCAATGTTGGGTGTTTTCTGGTGTTGTTTCCACAGTTTGCCGCGCTTTGGGGATCCCATCGAGGGTCGTCTCGAACCTGGTGTCTGCCCATGACGCCAACGCTTCTCTCACTGTTGACAAATACTACAACATGGATAACGCAGAAATGGACTACGACCCCAATAACCCAATGGGCGAGGATTCCATATGGAATTTCCACGTGTGGAATGATGTCTGGATGGCACGTCCTGACCTGCCTCATGGGTATGGCGGATGGCAAGCTATCGATGCAACACCACAAGAAACCTCCTCTGGGTATTACCAATGCGGACCTGCTTCGTTGGAAGCTATCAAAAAAGGACAAGTTGGGTTCAACTATGACGTTGCTTTCATGGTGGCTTCGGTCAATGCCGATGTGATGCGTTGGAAGGAGGATAATACCAGAGAACTCGGTTTCGCCAGAATTTATTCCAACAAATATCAGTAAGTTACAAATAAATTATAAAAACAGAAAATGAAAGAATGATTGTAGTATCGGTCGTACAATTTTGACAAAACAAGCCTTTATTTTTGACCCGAACGGAGATCAAGACAGGGAGGACGTTACTTTGCAGTACAAACCTCCTGAAGGATCAAAAGCTGAACGTTTGTCTTTATATAACGCTGTCAGAGGCACCGAACTTGCGAAAAGGTAATTAATTTAAGATTTTGTTCACATTTCTGTGATCCTAATAATACTAAATTATAACTGCAAATTTTCAGCAAAAAATTTTGTTTTTAAAACAGAGAAAATATCTCTTTGCATTTTTATGATCCTGGTACTCCCGACACTTTTAAGATTTTGCCGTATTTAGGCAAAGATTTTTATTTAATTGATGAGTATCTCTGCAAATGTCTGTATGTTAAATGTTTTAGCTTCTTTGCTTTACCTGATCCCGGCTTAGAAGACGTCGAGTTTGATTTGGAAGAATTAGAAAGAATCAAGATTGGCGAAGGCTTTTGTGTCGTCGTTCATATGAAAAACAGAAGCGATAAAGTACGCAATATCAAGGCTCTCCTTTCTGCGACCAGTGTCTTTTACAATGGAGTTAAAGCAAATCTGATCAAAAAAGAAGACATAGAAGTAGTATTGCAACCAAAATCGCGTTAGTAACATGTCTAGGTACTTTTTCATAAGCTTTATTCAAATAACTTTCTGATTTTTAGACGAAACCATAAGAATGACCGTCAAAGCAGACGAATATTTGGAAAAATTGGTTGAGTACAGCAATTTGAAGCTGTATGCTATTGCTTCAGTCCAGGAAACGCGCCAAACGTGGACCGATGAAGACGACTTCGAAGTTTTGAAGCCGAAAATAGATATACGGGTATCATGACAAATTTTACTTTTATTTTTTTAATATTCATGTATTAGATTCCTCCTGAAATTCCTATTGGAAAACCGACATCAGTTACTCTTCGATTTGTAAACCCATTAAAGAAGATTTTGACAAATTGTAGATTCAATCTTTCTGGTCCTACTTTAATTAGAAATCAGGTAATACGCTATACTGATGTAAAGCCCGGAGGTTTGGTGAAGATAAATGCGGATATCACACCAAAGATTGCTGGTGAACAAATACTGGTTGCAACCTTTTCTTCTAAACAACTCATCGATATACGAGGATCTGCTAAAGTAGAAGTGTTGGCAGATGAAGAGTAACGCTTTTGTGAAGGATTATAAACTTTTTAGATGTAGTTTAGAAATGCACGCATGCTTTTTGGCACTTTTTACAGCAATAAAATCATTTTTGAAGAAAGTTTTCTTGTTTTTTTTTTTAATAACATGTTTTAAATTTTAAATAACAAAGATAGGCAACCTAACAGAAATAAAAGAGTAGCTCCACATTAACACAATTCGTCCACTTGCTGAGTAGGTTTAATTTCTCCGTACTATGGTAGAATATTTTATCTACCATCTAGCCCCGCCAAGCCCCGCTCTTACGAATGTATACAAAAACAAGACAAAAATGTGGTTCTAGTTTTTATTATAAATTACGTAAATCTTTACTTTCTTATTATGCAAATTCATTTTTAGATACATGCTAAAAATGTAGATTGGCACTAGAAAATGAGACTTTATGGGTAAGATTCTAAATTCTTTTTAATTAAATAAAATTGTTAATTAACCTCTAGCAGTCTTTAATTTTTAAATTTTATGTTAATTGTAGGAGATGTTCGAGACGACAATTTTTCAGTTTCTGGCTTGTTTTGGCTTTGGTTTATGTATTTTACGTGGAATATTGGGAATACATGTGGAACAGTACCACTTGGCAGAAACTGAAATGTGAAAATGAAAGAGATTGTACAAAAATCCTGCTTGTTGCCGACCCTCAAATCATAGGACAACGTAAAGAGATTATACATTTTCTCACACCTTTTAGTATCTTTGATAGTGACTTTTATCTAAAAAAAACGTATTACTGGGCTTTCAGGTTTGCACAACCTGATATTGTTGTATTTCTGGGTGATTTAATGGATGAAGGTTCAATCGCCAACAATGAAGAGTTTTATGGTTATGTGCGACGAATTTTTAACATTTTCAGTGATCAAGTACCATCCACTCTTAAGGTAGTGTTGAAACAGAATTTTATCATTTTATTAAAAGTATTTTGCAGCATATCTGGCTACCTGGTGATAATGATATTGGTGGTGAGGAATTCGATCGAGTGACTGAAGAGAAATTCAAGCGCTTTCACAGGGCTTTTGCCCAACCTGAACTAATATACCACAAAAATATCACATTCTTTAAAATAAACCGTTTCATTCAAAGCATTCCTGTTATCAAAGAAAGACGAGATTTTTACGACACTTCTAGAATTTTTGTTGGACTTAGTCATGTACCACTCATGTTTATTCCCTCATTGTTTGTTGAAAAAGTAGGTAAAAATAGTGAAAATTTTCAGTGAGTGAAAATTTTGTTGCAGGTTTTTAATAAAGTGCTACCTCAGGTATTGTTCACAGCCCACGAACACAAATCGATGATTGTGAGTACAGACGCATTACTCAGACAAGATCGTCAAATTGTTCCTGTGACACCTGACAATAATAAAGTCTATGAATTTACTTTGGGCAATACTGACATGTACGAATTTATTATACCGACGTGTTCGTACAGAATGGGCACAGATAAAATCGGCTATGGCTTTGCTGTGCTTGGTATGGTATTTAGCATTATTGTTGCAACACTAATGACTCTTTTTAGAAAAAAATGAAATACGATACACTGTGCTGTGGTCTCCGTCCCGCTTTACGCAACTTCATAATTACTCAATAGTAATTTGCTTTATATTTTTTAACTTTTTGTTTTATTTTTGTTGCTGTAAGAAATCATCAAAGAGGTTTTGCTAAACCGAATGAGTACCTGCCAAGTATTTTAGTATACAAAGCTGCATTCAGTATTTTTGCTAGTGCTAAAACTTGATGTTTTAGTCAATCGAAAAAAAAAACAATTTAATATAATAAGTAATAATCCATCAACTTAAAACGTATCGTGTTGTACTTTAAAAGTACTTAAATTTTTATTACAAAATAGTAACATATCGTACTACCAATTGGTGGGATTACTAATTATTGAAACTAATTAACTATTGATATTCAATATGTAGCAGCAAAAATATTCTGACATATCTTTAATGTACATATGTACAAGTGCAGCATTATACAATTTTTATTTTTTGAGACTTTATGTTAGGATAAAAAAAAGTTATTACTTTTCACTTTGTAAAGTAAGTTATGTGAACTGGAACTAGATTATTTATTTACTCTATTCTAGCTGAGTTTTCAAATTGTATTACAGTTTAGAAGAGCTATGACCATAACAATTTAATAAGACTACGAAAATGTAAAGAAAAGATTGAATCTCTTACGGATTACAAACAATGTTTTTTCTGCAATTACATGACTTTTAGAAAAGTATCTCTAGGCAAGTACAAAATAATAATGTTGTTAAATTGCGCAATGACTACTTACTGACATTTCTGTAAACACTCAAAATGTAGTTTAAAATGACAATCTGAGAAAAACAACGATTTAAATATTCTAAAGTCGCATTAAGATGGGTGAGGTAATGGAAGGTGCCAAATAAAATTAATTTTTATTACATTCTAAAATTGTTACCAACTTCTGAATGACGACACACATTTTGTATCTAAATACGTATCTTAAGCTTAATTAATTTTTCTCAATAACTATCAAATATATTACTGTGATTGTGTGAGAATCCATTTCAACTACATACTCAATTTTCACATGCGTGCCATTTATGAATCTCTTTGCAATAAATGTTTTTTATTATTTTTTGTTTCAACTATGGCTGAAGTACTCATCAAATGCATTAATTATATATTTTAATTTTAGTATTGTTATCAAGTACCTATGCTCTACATTCAAACATATCTGTGTTATGTAGTTTATATGTTATGTATCGGGTGATTAAAAAATGTGTGGCATAATTTTAACCACGAATAACCCTCTACAAATGAGAATAGACAGTACTTATACTATATACAGTACTTATATACAGTATTTATTGACCCCCCCTCAAAAAATAGAAAAATTACAGTTTTCCAAAAATCGGTATGAAAAAATTATTTTCTGGAAATATTTTTGTGCAGAGGTATTTGTGGTTAAAATTATGAATCATGCTATATATAAATTTTAAAATTATTATTATTAACATAAATAAAATATTTCAATGGTTATTTGTGTTTACTACTAGTAAGGCCCCCTCAGCACACAACTTTTTTAACAATTTTGCTCCGTTTTTAAATCTATATTTAAAAAGCAAATGTTTCAGGTATTCTGCCCTGTTTTTAAGTAGTTTTTAATTTCTTCTGTTTTTAAAGTACATATATTAAAAAAGCCTTCGGTTCATGAAGCTATGGCTACATTTCTAAGCATTTCGATCTGTTTGTACTATCTGGGTAAGTTCAGCACAACACTTAAAATTTTAAGGATTCTTCCCTGTTTTTTAAGGTAGAAGGCATGTGGATAATGATTTTAAAAGGAAATTGGTAGGTTTTTCCGACGGGGTAAAACATTCTGTAAAATTGATGTAGTAACTGTATTTATTAATTGTTTTTTTTAATTTGCATTTATAATACGTTTATTAACCTCTCTCAGTAGGAGTCGTTTATGGCTATCTATAAAAGCACAATGTGCTTTAATGAATTTAGGGTTATTTGCAAACTAAATTCTGTTGGCCCATATTTTATTTATTATTATTATGTTGTAACACTAATAACTAATAATTTGTAAATTTTATTTTTAATGACAGACGGCAGAAATGATTCAAAAAATCAAGTGGGCGCAAAATTCACTAGACGACAAAAATATTTTTTTTTAATTAAAATAAGAAAAAAAAAAGGCGCAAATTAGAAAAACTAGCATAAAATCCTTGTTTTATAATGACACTGGCGCACTCATCCCATAGAAAACTCGCCTACGTCGATTTAAGGTGAAAGATTACTCCAGTGAGTCTTAGTAGTTGAATAAATGTATTTAACGTTTGACAGACCTATCTTATCAAATTAATCCACATTTACGTATCTAATAATAATAATACTAATAAATTAGATTCTTCACCAGTTTCAGTGTAATTAATATTCACACAGCAAAAGATACATTAAGTTAAATTTTAAAGAATTCAGAGAAATATGTAATAAAATACGTTCTCTTTAGAATAATACAATATCAGATTTTATAGTTCTTTAATGATAATATTCTCTTTAGAAAATTAAAAGTGTACATTAACTATTAATCAGCAAAAAAAATATGAACTGAGGATTCAGACGTAGTTGGAGTATCGGCTCCGTTCTGATTACTACTGTTGCTGCAACAATAAAACACTTGCCTGAAAAACAATTTAATTGTTTTTGTTCACCTTTCATTATCTTCAATTGAGCCAATGCAATTTATAAAATCTTTTTTATGGACAATATTAGTGAAATTAAAACTTATATAAGACCCAAATCCTACTAATGTCCATAATCTTTTAAGTTTTACGGTGGCTGTGTTGTCGTTCTCAATAATTTTTAAAATACGAGATTTTGACATAATTGTTGCGCCGTCGTCAATGTGAATGTCTATCCACAATTAAAATTCTTACTAGGGGACTAATGCTTTGATACCAAAGTTTCACGATTTAAGCTTGAACTAATTAAACTTTTTAGATTTATTTGATGATATTTCATACTTATTTAATATAAAAAATAAAAGATTAAAAATTAAACGAAATGCTTTTTATTTTAGATCAGATGGAGACAAGTCTACATTTAGTGTTATTTCAATATTGGAATCTAATTAATTTAATATACTTATATTCTGTATGTTATAAATGGAAACTTTTAGAAAAATGGTTGGTATACAGAAAAAGTTCTCAGAGCTCCGTATATACATATAATCAGGAAAATTTGTATTAAAATGTTACATTTCAAAAGCTACCTATTTTAAAAATGGGGCAAAATTCCTGAAATATTTGAGTTTCTAAATATACCATTAAAAACGGTTCAAAATTTTTAAAAAAGTGTTGTGCTGAGGAGGCCTTACTAGTAGTGTGTTTTTATAGGACATGTAGCTGAAGAGGTAATAAGAATAAAATAATACTTTAAATAAACTATATTCTCATGAATCACAAACTCTATAATCAATAAAAACGAAAAAACCTTATGTGTATTATTAAAATAAAAATTCACTCACTATTAATTTAGGAAATTTCAATAAATCAGTCTACGATAATAATCATTGATCAAGTTTAAATGTTACAAATATCAGTAGTAAAAACTCGATTTAAAGTGCAAAAAATACGTTACGTTTATATAAGAAAATAGAAATGGCAACCCACACAGCAGTTCCCCAAAGATTCATTAACAAATAAGCTCCATGTGTTTCACTCGTAGGAGTCCAAGCAAATGGAAAAGTATCCCTAAATAATTCATGTCCCACGTATAAAAATAAGGAATTCATTCCTGGATAAAAGAACGGTCTTCCTCCCCACTTCCTTAGAATATCAACAAGAACAAACAAAAAGGCTTGAATAAAAAAGGCCATTCCAGACAAAACCAACGTGAAGGACAACGACCACAACTGCTTGTTCAAAGGAATCAAGCCGTCGTTTTGCTTGAACTCGCAAAGCGTTCCACCAATCAGACCCTGCAAATAATTAATTAATTTTTAAACTAATATGAGAAAATTAAATTACCACAATCGAGCCCCAAATAACCCAACGAATCACTTTCGCTTTCACATTTTGGTAGGTATTAAGTGTCCGTCCTGCTTGAACCCCAAAATAAACAGTCAAGACGGAAGTTAGCGTTCCGAGTATTCCTAAAATCCATAATTAACTCAAAAAATATAAATCTTGGATATTACCTTCAGGGTCGAAGTAAACATCAATTTCATACAATTTTTTACACGCTGGATTTTTGTACATATGTTCACCAAACACTTGTCTATCAATATATCCAGCAACACCTCCCGTACAATTGTAAAATTTGCCATGATCGTCGAGGCCCCCAGGACCCAAATAACCCTTACCACACCCTGGCACATGTACCAAAAAGGTGATACAAGTATGTATTATCACAAGAATTGTGACAAAAAGCCATTGGGGCCATGCAACCGCAACGTCATAAATACAGGAGACACTCTAAAACCCCATTATCAAAATTTCTGCAAATTAATTAAACTAAAATACCTCAACTTCTGTCCGTTTTGTAAAAATGATTTCCAATAATCCGACAATAAAATAAGTGACTCCAAATCTTTGCAAAACTCCAGGAAATCGCAACGAGCCGATAGTTTGCAAATTTTGGTTTGAATTTATAATAATTCCCAATAGAATCAAGATGAAAGAACGTCGCATCACACCTATAACAAGTTGACGTCGAGGCACCGCTCGCCGTAATTTCGCTTGCAAGGAAACAGCAAACGAGACACCCATCAACCACAAAAACCAGGGAAATACCAAATCAGCGACTGTTATGCCATTCCATACAGAATGGGTGAAAAACCAGTATTTCCCTCCTCCGTAATTTACGAAAATCATGACCATTATGCAAAATCCGCGAAATACATCGATGGACTTTATCCGGTGTGGGTGTTTTCGGATAGATGGTGTTCTCTCGATGACTAGGGGAGTCCCCGCTGAGGATCCACCCAAATCCTAGTAACACGAAGTGAGCGAATTTTTTTAATGCAAAAAATACTCACGCTTTCTATTTCTGCATTCCATGAAACAAGTCCTCTTAATCGACCGGAATTTTTGTAAATACATTTGACCATGTACCAGAAAGTACCAAAAGAACAAAGCACTATAAAAGCCGTAAGAATTGCTACAAACTGGAATTAGTTTTGTTTATATACAAAGGACAATATTTACGCAAGTAAGCGCTATCTGCAGGTTCCTTTATATACAAATTCGAACACTTTTCTGTAATATTCCACCCATAGCGATAATGCTCATACAATAACTTTTTTACACTAGAAAGAAACGTTTTAAATGCCAAAAACAACCATGATAACATTCCTACCTGCATTGTTTTTTGGCATCAGCAACAAAGAACAGCTCTAGAGGATATCGTGTATTTACAAGTATCGAAGTATTTTTATGGGGCTCTAGCGTAGTTAAATTTTGGAAATCACAGTTATGGCACTCCGAATATTGCCCCCAAACCGAAGCGGTGTCGTTCAAAAGATTAGTAATATCGATGCAAGCCTCGTCGAAAATCAGATTGGGGCTTGGAGACAAGCATTTATTACTATTTTTGAAAAGCATATTGTTGTTTACACCAAATGGAAAGCTTTAACGCGGCAATCGTGCCAAGAATAATGTGACTCATAAGACTACGATTCGACAGGATTGTCCATTTTAGGGTTCAATTTCACTGTTTTTTCCACAATTTTTTATATCTTATTACACGAGATTCAAAATGGTCAGAAATTGTTGATTACTGGCGATTTTTAACAATAAACGACGCAACTATAATTAGTAACAAAAACAAAGAGGTCACAACACAATTCACTTCGCCTTGTTTTGGATTTTAATGAAAATTGACAAATCTGACCTTGATAAAATCTGACAGATGAGTCACCCCAGTGTCGCCAACTGTATTAATATTCATCATCCTCGGCATTATTTTTGTTGAGGTCTGTGTATGTTGGAGGAAAAAGGGCAAAAAGAAGAAGAGGTGCTTTTAGACTTCTGTATTCAATTAATTAACAAATGCAACTAACA